ACACACACACACACACACACACACACACACACACACACACACACACTGCGCCAGAGATTCTTAAATTAAAATGAGGGGTCATGGGGTTCATCAACAGGAGCATTGTCCCACAGAAACCCTTTGTACTTTTCCTTTTGTTGCTCTGTTCAGATTTTGTGAAGTAATTATAATAAAGTTTATTAAGAAAGAAAAATAGTATTTTTAATACAATTTTCTGTCTTTATGCATAAAAATGTGTAGAGAATGAACATAAATCACCCTTTATTGTCGGCCGTAAAATAATGGGTCAAAAAGAAACTTTGCATTTTGTGGGTTTATCTGAAGCAATGGATCAGCCTTTTTTGATTAATCCATTTCTTTTAGCATTCTTTCAGAAAAGACAAGGACATGAAGCATAAACTTTTATCCATGCTACAGAATAGAACAAAAAACAAGTATGATGAGTGAAATTCTGGCTTTAGATGTGGTTTCAGAAAGGTTGCAGTTCGTCACAATATCGAACTTCGTCACTCTTTAATTTTGATTTTTGAAAAACTTTCAATTAAAAAAATCCATGAAAGCTGGAAGGATGAAAAGAAACTATTTGTTTTCAGAATACTATGAGTTTTCTTCAAAGGTATGAGAACATCCAGGACAGAAGGAAACAGAAACACACAAACGCCAACACATTTGTCAAACATCAACTCAGTGAATAAAAACCATGAACAAGAATTGTAATTTTTGGTTTGTTCCAGTCATGAAGTTTATTTTTACACACATAAATCTATATATGTAAATGAGGATTAAAGCTCCTTAATCTAATCTGGTCATTAGAAATGTACGAGTTACCTCTGCTTGTCAGACAGGCCCCCTCCCTCTCGGTTTTCAAGTCCCGTTTAAAAACTCACTACTATTCAATAGCTTTCAACACAAGATGATCTGTGTTTTGATCCTGTACGCTCTACACTGGTTTGTCGTCATTATCTGCATCGTTTTTTGTCTATGTTCTGATTTACCTCATTTTGTATTTTGCTTTGTGTGTTACCTGTTGTTTTGTCTGTACAGCACTTTGGTTGGCCTTGTAGCTGTTTTAAGTGCTTTATAAATAAAGTGGTATGGTATCCATTAGAAGTGTATGTTTGTACATTTATTTTCAGAGACATCTCCCTTTTTTGTTGCTTTTTTGCTGCAAACTTTAAAGAAAGTCAGTAACAACAATCAGTTAACAACGTGCACATTTGAGGACCACAAAAGGTAGAAATTAGTTCTTCATTCCTTTTTGCAACAAAACTGTATCCAGGGATGCACAATAATTAAAATCGGCTGACATCCCACTGTTCTTTTATTAAGGGGGCTTGATTGCATAAGCTTTAAAATAAATGTGCAAAATGTGTTGCTATATCAGGAATGGTGTGCTAAGATTTTTGATAGCAGCACATCGCACTATGTAAAGAAAAAAATCTAAAAGCTTGAATAATAATAATTAAAAAAAGATCAATGAGATTTTGACAAAACAAATGAGAAGACCCAGACCTCTTTGGACCGCTGAAGCTCAGTCTTACTGTAGAGTAGAAACATCATTCAAAGTTTAAACAGGTTGGACTTTGTATGTCTGAACTGCCATTTTAATATATTTTACAGATTTTACAGAATCTCAGTTTGAGCGTTTTACAGAATTTTCCAAAACATGTTCAGATGACATTTGATGATGTCACATTTGAACTGTCTACACATTTTGAACCTTTTGCAAAAAACCTTTTCTTACTCCCATGATTCTTTCTAGTACATATAAAAAAATAATACTTCAAACTGTTAGGATTTATCTCTTCCTTCACACTGTACATCTACTGTATGTCATATTTTGTTGTCTCTAAAATTCACTCTAAATGCAGAGACACCCAAACTTCCACACATTCAGTTTTAAATTAACCCCAAATATTTTAAAAACTGGAAATTAAGGGTCTTTTCAACTTGTATCTCAGAGATGAAACATCGTAGACATATAGGAATCAAATTTTTTTTTTGCTGCTCACCATTCAATAATTTTAAAGAGCTGACTTTTAGTTTTGCACAGCAACTGTTCATTTGAGACTTACTTTTCAGTCTGCATCATCATCTGTCTGTCATTATACTGGCTGTTAGGCTGTGAGACGCAGGTGTGTGGTCACCATGGCGACCACGATGAGCCACTAGCAGCAGCTTTAACATTCCTTTTTGATCTTGCAATCGCTTTCCAATTCTTGAGGAGTTTATAGATTAAAATGTAGATATTTTATTTTAGATTGGCACCCATCAAAACGTTTTCAGAAATTTGTTTTAAGCATCAAAAATAAATCGTATTGTGGCAGAAAGAAAATCATACGTCCTCAAACAAACTTCAATATAATTTTATTTTATCCGAAATGTTAATACCTTACCAGTGTAGTGACTAGGAGAAAAGAAAGATTGTGTTTTGTTAAAAATAAAAATAAGTAAAATTTCGTCAAGACTGCATGGAACGTATAAATATATAAATCTTTATTTACTTCATATGCTCATGTAACAGTGTTGGAAATCATCTCTCTTCTTTAAAACAAACTTCTAACATGTGGTTTTTGTTCTGCTGAAGAAATTACAGTCAGATAATAATAAAAAAAGAAATAAAATCCACATTTGATTAAAAAAATGGCAGCAGAGGCCGAAACCTATCAACTAAATACATGAAACTTATAGTTTATGACAACCCTCATGAATGATGTTAAAATAATACAACACAACAAATACTGCAAATGTTAATTTCCTACTATATATAAAGATAAAAGTTAAATACAAACAGAAATAAAAATCAGAAATCTTTGCAAACCGTGAACCACAAATAAAATATGATAAAAAATTATACTCGATATAAAGACTCAGTGCATATTTGACACAGAACAAAACAACATTTGGAAGAACACAAGCTCATTTTCACTAACAAATACTGCTTCTTTGTTTGTCTGCAGGGTGTGTGTTAAAACAAGCATGCCTGAAGGTTTTGCACAGTGTGTTACGAATAAAAAGGCGTTAACATCGAGACGTCACCCGTTGAAAACGTGCTGCAATGTGTTGTAAATGTAGCGGACTGGCGTTAACTCATCCAGAACCGAAAAGCTTTGCAAGGACAACAATATTTGCATAAATTAACTCCACCACGTGACTGTGGAGTAAGATCCCTGTGTTTGAACTATCAGTGAATACAGCAGCGTGAACAGCATCAACAGTCTGGGATTTAAAAAAAAAATCATTTTAAACAGGAGTAAGTGAATTAATAAATGGTTGTGTGAACAGGATATATAATATGCACGTCATGCTTCCTTTAAAAAAACTGCTTCTATTGTGAGACTGCATCTGTTTTTAACTGAAAAAATATGTTTTTAATTGCTCCTCAGGTTCGCCCAAACAAATAAAAACAAATAAAATAACATTTCTTGACCACTAAATTGCCAGGAGGAATTTTGAAATAAAATAAAAAACTTCATGGTCAAGCTGTAGTGGTAAATCTGAACCCTGTTTCCTGCATTCACGCATGAGTTTAAAAACCCTGGAGAGCTTCAACACTTCCCACCCGCTGAATCAACCTGAGTTTGTCGGGCTAATTGTTCATGAAATCACACAAGTACTGGTCTGAAGCAAATCCACTTGCGCTCTGAGCAAACGTGCACCTTCACATGGATGGACTCTGCCACCGATTTCCTACAAAATTACCCTTTCAAAGAAAATTGTCACATTAGTTTGAGCAATTCTTTATGGGTGTAACTCTTCTTCTTGGAGCTGAAGTTTGGAATGAACATTGTTCGTTTCACAGTATGTTAGAGAAATACCTGAGGCTGTTTTCAGCTGTAACACAGTGAAGGTGGAGCAAACCAGTAGCATTTATAAACTGGAAAAGAATCAACAGTCCACAGGTTTTTTTTTTTTTTGTCACGCAGTAGATGCTCTGGAAACTGGTAGATGCAGTGGATTTGAGTCATTTTTCAGGACTTAAAGAAGGAATCTCATGTTTTCCTCTTGAACAATGCTACAGAATATTCTGGAGGAGGAAACTCAGTTTCTTTAAGATGGTGGGTTCACACAGGAGGGGTGGAGTAGCGCACCACGTAGTTGTAGTCAGGTGGAGGGCTGTGACATTCCAGACTGTCGTCCAGGGCCGAGTCGTCCAGACTGAAGTCTAACGGAGGAACTGCAGGCGAGAACTTCTCCTTCTCCACATCGTTCAGGACGGACTCCTTACTCTTGCTCACAGCCTTCATCCTAGAAACGCATTAAAAAAAAGATAAAAACATTTCATGGGGTATTGTGAAAGAAACTAAAAATCCAAAACATGCAGGTGAAACAACAGAAGGGATTCTGTCTTTTGTCTTTTAGCTCATGCTTAGTAAATCAATAATTTAAAACATTTTAAATAGGATTTTTTAAATATAAAATTAAAATATTTTCAAGCTTAAGCTTCTTTGAGATAAGGAGTTTGCTTTGATTTATTGAATTTTTATATTTTGCTCAAATAACTTGAGCTCAGACTTTAATATCCATCACCCTGGTATACTTTTTTCTATTTATAAAAGTTTAAAGGTGGTGTACTGACTAATCACCAGACCTGTGCAGCAGTTTACAACACTTTACTATAAGGATGCTTTTACAAATAATTTTTTACATTCCATGAATGTTATTCATGTATTTGGAAATGTTTTACAAAGCAATTATAAACCACTCTTCTTACACAGAGACATTCTCAATAATTGGTAAAATAAATTTGTACTTTAATTTACTCAAGTAAATGTTACTGTTTACCTAAATAACAATGTGCCTAAACAAAATTTGTATTTACAAACACTCATAGAGAGTTTAATTTTTTTTAACAATGCAGGTAAGCTGAGACTGGAGCGCAAAAAAAAAATTGATCATTATTCGCCAAGAAACAAGACAGTATAATTTTTTCTAAAGAACTGTAACTTCTTATTAATAATAACTACAGAAATTGCATTTCCTGCAAAAATGCAGTGTGAATGTTTATTGCAAAAGAACTTGCTGAAAAGCAGCTGAAATTAGCTAAAAACATGCTGAAATGAAAGAACAAGCCTAAGTTAGCATAAGAAAGCAAAAAGAACGCATATATGCTGAATTAGGTTTAAATAAGCAGAAATTAGCACAAAAAATAGGAAATTAGCTAACATTAGCTGAAATAAGCAAACAACAGCTGAAAAGGCAGAAAGAGGCTTAACGGAAAGAAGTGGAAAGAGTTGAAATGAGCTACAAAATGTGGAATTAGCAGAAAAAGCTACAATTTGAATGAAAATCAGTTAAACAGTAGCTGACATAGCAGATAAAGCTGTAACTAGCTGTAAAAAGCTGAAAGGAGCATAACAAGCTGAAATAAGTTAGGTGGAGAGTGGCAGGAATTACCAAGCAAACTAGATTTTATCTAAAAACAGCCGAAGTTAGCTAAAAAAATGCACAAAACAGTAGCTAAAAAGTTAGAACAAGCTTAAATTAGCAGAAGAAAGCAGATGTGTTTGCCCAATTAGGCTGAAAGAAGCATAAATGAGCACATAAAAGTAGAATTTATTTGAAAAAAGCTGAAATTAGCAACAACAAAAAACTGCTGAAAAGCAGCTAAAAATTCTGAAAGAAGCAGAAATTACAAGAAGTAAATGGAGTGAATACATTTTTGCTGAATTAGGGTCATAAAAGTTGAAGTGAGTGCAAAAAATGTGGAATTAGCTGAAAAAGCTTAAATTAGCATAAACAGCTAAATAGTAGCTGAAATAGCAAAAAAAAAAAAGGATGAAACTTGCATAAATAAGTTGAAAGGAGCATAACAAGCTGAAATTAGAAGAAATAACAGAAGAAGCACAAAAATATTGTAGTTAGTAGGAATAATCTGAAATTAGCTGAAAGTAGCTGAAAAAAATGTTTAAATTTGTACAAGCTGGAAGAAGCTGAACCAGAACAAAATGTGAAAGGAGCTGTAAAAGGTTCTAAACAGATCTAAAGATTTGAAGAAGCTCAATTCATTTCCTATGAGAAAAAATGAAGCAGAAAAGTCTAAATATTTAAAAAATCTAAAGTTGCACCAATACCAAAAGTCATAGTAGCCTTTTCCTGAACGAGCCAAACGTTTTGATATATGATTTGTTGAAACAGCTTGAAAACTGCGGGACGAGCTTCATAAGCATTCACACTATTAGGTGCCTACAGTTGATTTATTTATTTGTCATTTTTATGTGTTCACTTAATGTAAAGTTGTCCAGATGTTTGTGTGGCTATTGTTTTCCAGTGTGGAAAGAGGATCAGTTTGCTTATCTTGGTCAAAAATGAAAACACAGGAGCTCTGAAGAGAAAGACTTATGTTACACAAACTCAGAAAGCTTAAAATTGTTGTTTCTCCAACAATGATGGCTAAACAAGCCATACAACATAATGTATTGTGCATAAAATTCAAGACAGGTGTTTTTTCTAAGCTCTCACCACAGCGGCCTGTTCTAATATACTCACTTTTAAGGACTGCCCTTAAACACAATCAATCATCCGGAGCTTTTCTGCCTCGTTTGAGTCTCAGAATATGAGTAACTGAGTCTTATTGTCTCGGACGTTGCTATGGGTTTCCCGAGTTTGTCCCCTGAGCGTGAAGGGTCAGTTCCCAGCAGGAAGAAAAGCGGCCATACTGGAATGTTTTCCTGATTAATAAACTACCTGGCAAACGGGAACGCACAAAAGAGCGGAGGCACACACTGGAAAACAAGTTAAGTCTCTTTGAGATAAAATACTTAAAAGATCATCCATTTGTTATTTTTAGTGCAAAACAATATTGGCTGTAGGGTTAATTAAAAAAGCTCCTGATAAAAGTGAGGCAGGAGGAGCATGAGGCGGGCGGCTGTTCAGAGCCACTGCAGCAGGGGAGGTCCTTGTAAACCTTTTAAGTTTAAAAAGTGGCAGTGATTGAGTGGCTGCTCAGCGAGAAAGTGCTCCCCTCGAAACATAGATCATTCTCTGGATGCTTGAGTTGATTTTTTTGTGCTGAGCTGAGGCCTTGATGGGACAAACGGGTCTGTAAGGAGCCCTCGACGATCAGATTTGAAAGCTAAAAGACACTGTGAGAGCATTTCTCAGAAAAGCATGCCTCATATGTTTTTTTCCCCTCATGTAGTCATTTATATATATATTTTTCATGTACCCTTTATTTATACAGGTAGTCTCATTGAACCACGAGAACTTATTTTCAAGAGAGACCTATGAGACCTAGAGATATGTTCAGTCTTGGTAATTTATGAGGATTTAAATGTTGTTTTCTCAAGTTTAGATTATTTTCTTTGCAGCTTTATTGAGACTCTAACATTATTTTGCTGCTTTTTATAAATTAAGTGATTTTAGCTTTGAGACTTCACTGGTGTACCGTATTTTTGGACTATAAGGCACAATATCAGTGAACGGGTCTGTTTTCATACATAAGGCTCACTGCTGAACCACCCATAACTGTAAGATTTACAGAAATCTGCGTCAGTTTGGGCATTTTCATCGAAAAACCCTAAATTAAGAACACACTGTCTCACATTTCCCCCCTTTCCAACAGCTTTATGTGTTTTCAAAGTCCACATCTTAAAGTCGTAAAGAATCCCCAGGATTGCTGAGTAAAAACGTCTTTTTACGTCATCCTTTGGACTTTTTTTTTGTTTGTGCTGCCTATCAGACTGGGAGGTTTCTCATTCAGGATGTTCTTGGTGAAAACAGAGTTTTAGTGTTTTCTCCTTAATAAAAGCCAAACCTCACTTTGCTTTTGTTTTCTGCTCTTAAGCTCGTCACCATCAAGCATTGTTCCCTTCCACTTCCCCTTTGTGCCTCACGCTCGGGCAAAAGAGAAGACCACAACAAGCAGCTCACTTCTTTTAAAGGTTGAAGAAATCTTGTGCATTTGTAAGGCAGTTATAGCCTCTACATTCCTGCACAGTGGGTGGGTGTTTAATCAGGTACTTGTGCAGTTTCATCTTCGGTGTGCTTGTATTGATTTGTTATTTGCATGGCTGTTTTTTGGAAAAGGTGGAGATGCCGTGTACTTACGCCAGTGCTATGATGCTCAGAGGTCGCCCTGCCAATGATTCGAACCGCATCAGCGTCTTCATGTTGTCAGAGGAAAGGCCCATCCCGCTGTCTGACTGACCCTGAGGAGGACCAAATAGATAAATAATAAAATTGTTTTTGCCCCTTTTTATGTGGCATTTATGGAATCAAAGGCAAACAAATATCTGCAAATAGAGGTGAATATAAAAATCAAAGTAATAAACTAAATATGATTTTTTTTCCCCTCATTATCAATATGTCTTTAAATTTAAAATTTGTGAATGGCTGCCATCTGTGTGTGTGTGTTTACCTACAGAAACAACTGAAATGACAGAAAATAGAACAACAATAAAAACATCAATACAACCTTCTGGGTTGGAGAACTACGACCATTTTAGTGTATCTGTACTTATTTGTGCTCAGATTTGTTGAGTAATGTATGCAGATAAGCTTCTAATGGATTCGGCAAAGTACTTTGTTTACACTGAGTGCAGACCCACATTTCAGATTTGCATCTGGAAACCTAAACTCTTTCAAACTGCATCATTTAATATGGTTCAGGAGAACCCTTTTCATGTTGAATCATACTTGTGTGGACAGCACAGTGGTGCAGTTGGTAGAGCTGCAAGCCACCTCTCAGAGAGAAGGTTGCCAGACTGAATCCCAGACGGGGGCCTTTCTGGGCGGAGATTGCATGTTCTCTCCGTGCATGCGTGGGTTTTCTCCGGGCACTCCGATTTCCTCCCACAGAACAAAAACATGCACGGTAGGCTGATTGGTCACTCTAAATTGTCCCTGTGTGTGAGAGAGTGAATGGTTGTTTGTCTCCCTGTGATGGACTGGGGACCTGTCCAGAGTGTCCCCCACCTCTTACACAGTGACTGGATATGGGCACCAGTGACCCCCGCAACCCAGAAAGGAAGAAGCGGGTAGAACAGATGGATTTTACACTTTGTGATGAAACTTTTGGGTAAACCCTCATTAGCATCTCTTTTGTAAAATAAAATAAAATCTACCATGGAAACATTATGAACATTCAATATCTTACCTGTTGTAGATAGTTCTTTGAATGGTTTCAGTCTGGAGAAATAAAGTTTAATTCTGACTAGATTAATGGGCTAACGGCTAGTCCAAAGACTACAGTGGATTATATATATAAAAAAAAAAAAACTGAAATCAATGAGTAATATAGAAGTTGTGAGACTGGAGTTGTTTCATGACTGCAGCAAAACAACTTTGGTGCATAGCTTTCAGCTCATCAGTCTGGTCAGAATTCAACTCTATTTCTCCAAACTGAGGCAATTTAAAAAGCCATCTGTAGCAGGTAAGACATTAACTGTTCATGACCTTCTCACAGAACCCCTCTTCAAAGATCTGAACGATCACATTGAGCTGCGGAGCATGTAGTCTGTTTCTGCTTCAACTTGAGGCAGAATATCTCACCTCGTGGTTTTCATTTGTCCCGGTCTCCATGGTGATCTCGTCAAATGTTTTAACACTAGCTGGACGGATCTTGATGTTCCTAGAAGAAAAGAGAGAAAAATAACTCCAATCCTTACAGTTTGAAGATTCTTTTAAATTACGTTAAAGTCAAGTTCAGCAACCAAACTGCAGGAACTTTACTAAATCAACTTTGTGCAGCATTAATGATGCTGTAGTTTGAAACACACACTGTTTGCTTTGCATTTCAACACTTAGAGCTGAGTTTAACTTCAGCTGCTGCTTTTCAGCACCTTCTCAATAAACACACTTGTAGGACCTGTGAAAACCCAAGAGCTCCACAAATATTATTTTAAGCGGGCTTAAATCTTGACGTGGGCTCCGTGTTTTATGGGGGAAATTCTTGACAGCAGCTAAAAGCCCAGGAGCCGCAATGTGTGTACGTTTCTTATCGAGGCCCGGCCCAGTTCTCATTGTCTTCAGGTCTGACTTAAACATTCTCCTGTTGAATTAAATAACAGGAAAATAATGCTTTGGGTATTTTTTTTAATACAGAATGGAGAAATGATCGAGTCTTATCGGTTTGTCCACATCATTGTGAGGATTAGTTTACGTGTGTGATTTATTTGCTTTGAGTGCAGGTTTCACAGAGAAGTTACAGCAGTTCTGAGCCAACAAAGCCAAGAGCAGCCAGCCAAGCTAGCAGCTCTCTGCAGAAATACGATTGTAAAAGAAAATATGAAACGAATGCAAGTTTGAGCTGATGATGGTTATAAATAAAAAAGCTTAAAGGGGATAAAAGTCTTCAAGTTCACCCAGAGGGAAGAGTAAATGCCAAATGTCATTTCTGTATGTTAGTTAACAAAATATCTCATGAACCCGGGGATGGATTTCAATAAAAATGTCAGAAAGTAATGATTAGGTTGACATCTACAACCATTTAACTTTTTGACTTGTCGCATTTCAACATGGCGGCCAACGTTACCTGACCTCGGAAAACACAAAAAAGGCTATTACTCATTTTACAGATGTTAGGCTAACATTTGGTGTGGTAGTGGCTGAGCATTGACCTCAGCACATTATTTGAGGGCAACATCTTTGCTTAAAAAACATGTCATTCATTCAACCTGTATTTATACAGATAAATCACATTGAGCCTCGAAGACTCATTTATAAGTTATAAACAGTCAACCCAGTTTGTTTGTTTGCAAAATATCTCATTTACCACAGTACGGATTTTACTGAAACTCCCAGAAAGTAGAACTACGGTAATAGTGTGAATGTTTATGAAGCATTCACACTATTGTGATACATTTTTCTTCCATGCGTTTTTCAGCACAATTCTCGTCCCGCAGTCTTCAAGCTATTTCAACAAATCATAAATCAAAATGTTCAGCTCTTTCAGGACAATCCTTCTGCTATGACTTTTGGCATTGGTGCAACTTTAGCTTTTTGAAATATTTAGCCTTTTCTGCCATTTTTTTCTTCCAACTGAGTTCATTTAGCATCCTTCAAATCTTTAGAGCTGTTTACAACCTTTTGCTGCTCCGTTCACATTTTGTTCTGGTTCAACTTCTTTCAGCTTCCTTGTGCAAATTTTAACTTTTTCAGCTAATTCCACTTTTTTTTATTTTTTTAGCTCATTTCAATTCTTTCCACTTCCTTCTTGTAGGTTAATGAAATTTCTCTAGTTACCTTTTGAAGATGATCCAATTCAAAACTGACACCAGAGCTAATAGCTCTCAGCTTACCAAAAATGACTTTACCGCATTGAATTTTACAGATTTTGAGCTAAAATTTGGTGTGGTGGTAGCTGAGAGTCATCCACAACACATCCTGTCACTGCTAACATATCATGTGAGACATTCTAATATTGCCTGAGGTTGTGCATGATGTCATTTTCAAGATTAAAACTAAATGGTTACAATTCCATCATTTCTGATCATAAGATTTGTTTGAAACCCTGACATGAAAGGCAACAGGTGATATGCAACTCTTCAATGAATTCAGGGCCTTTAGTAAGTCATTGGTGTGATAAGAGAAAATTGGAAGCATTTGGTGGATAAAGCGTCTGATTCAGTAATGATCTGTGAGCTTACCAGTTGCCCCCCGAGTCATGGTGGGAAACGGGTCGTGAGCTTGTCTCCTTCATATCTGCGGTTGCGTTTGGCTCTCCCACCTTCACCAGCAGGGCTGTGTTGATGGGTATGTAGTGTTTGCCCTCCTATAAAAACAAAAGAGTTATATTTATAGCTGAAGTTTGGGTCGCTACGCAAAACAATGCATGCAAATGTGGTAGCGAGCAGCCAAAGAAGCTACAACGATGCTAAATACATCCAAGGACAGAATCATGAAGTTGGTGCAGTCCCAGACTTCCTGCTGTGATTTCTTTTTTTTTACTAGACCGTTATAATAGACTAATTTGTATTAAAATATAACAGAGATGACATGATGGGTTCTCTTGTTGTCATCTTTGTTATATGCAGTGTCTGCAAGACATTTTTTTATAATGTGAAAAAAATGCCTCAAAGATTCGACCTTTCAATTCTTACAGCACTTTATCATAATTCCACCTTATTCTACCATTACTGCAGCGAGTAATTGCCTGTGTCAATGTATGTGTGCGTTTGGTTTAGCTTGTTAGCAAAATATCTTATGTCCTACATGTTCAATATATGTTCTGAAGTGTGCTTTCTTTAATGGGACAGATGATGTGATTCCATACAGAGTTGAGTGTTACAGAAACTCTGATTGTCAACATTTTTTCTTCAGTGAATGCAGAGTCTGTGACTAGTTCTGTAAAAACTGATGACTATTAAAGTGATAAAACAAAGATGAGTTAATCAAGAAAGAATACAAAGTATTATGTTTCAGTATTTGGTAGTTATAAACTGAAATTGTTGTACCTGTTGCACGCTGGCCTGAAGCAGGTCTCCGAGCCGCTCCACCAGCTCAGTGAAAGTCGGCCGCTGCTGTGGCTCACCCTGCCAGCAGTCCAGCATGGTCTGATATCTATAAATAAAGAATTAACCAATCATCACACGCTGCAAGCCTTTAGCATGGAGAACGAACACCCCCGATGCCAGAAGCAGCAGACTTTATGTTTGTGTTGATGTGTTCTGAACACAGAAGAGAACAGGACTGGTGGTCCTTTCATCTCCAATAAATCAGATCTGCTCCACCTCTAAACCATCATCCTAGCCAACTGTACTCTTAAAAAAACCCTGTTCCATAAGCCTTTTGACAAGCTGTCAGCATCTCTAACCCATGGAGGACTCTGAGCCTTAATGTGAACACAGTGCCCCCCTATCTTTCATTTTGTTGGAGATTAGAAACAGAGGTCTGCCGCTGCCGTTTTCAATTATGTGCACAGCATGACACTGATTGCAATCCATCTGTAACAGGCATTAATGTGGCCACTAGGACTCCCTTGTATCATCACAGTTGGGTCTGAAAACTCCACCTCCACATCTGTGTGTGTAGTCCGACCCAGTTTAAGAGGGCCACGCAGCTCACACCTTGATGAATGTAGAGGGTGATCATCCAGGTGGTTTTCCTTCCAGCTGTGCAGGATCACAGCTCTTATGTATATCACCATGCAGGAAGGGGACACATTGTATGATTGCACAACTTATACCACACTTCCTGTCTTCTGCGTAATGAGAATAAATAGCACGGCTCCACATGTTGAGGGTCACAGAGAGTGGGGCATATTTGAATAGGAAAGATTATGCAGAACCGTTTTTAATTCTTCTGGTGGAGTAAAGAGTGGCAGGATGGGAAACGACGAGCATCCTTTTATTGTGCGCCCACTCTCCGCAGAGCATCCGCTAAATTCCTCTGCCATGCATCGGAACCGACGGGTCTTATAAACAGGCGCTGGACAGCATTCCAGATGAAGTTAAGGGCTGGTACAAGTTAAGTGACACCAGCTGGAAATTCATGTGGTTTTCATCATTCTTATGTCCCGCCTTTGGGATGAGGGTCAGTGGAGTCATAACCTGGGCTCGGAGCACACCTGAGGTCAACTGCAGACCTCTATGAGGAGATTTCCCTCTGTTGACTCTGAGCTCATCACGTTCCAATTGATATCAACGGGAGTTTGTCTCACATTCAAACTCCAGGAAGGCCTCTCAGCCATAAGAATGTCAAGCATTCAAACAAGAGCATCTACTGTATTTTACTTAATAGATCACCTGAACTGAGATGGAAAGAACAAAAAGAGTCTTGGCTCTGACAGATACCTTCAATCTGGGTTATATTATGTGCATCAGATCTAATCATCTCCTTTTGTGAAGCTGATAACTTCACTTAACTGTACCTTTTCATAAAGCAATGTTACAAAGCATAAGTCCAGAGTCTTGCTGTCAAAATAAATGCAATTTCACATTGTCAATCATTTTAAATTAAGAACAGCCACATGCCATGCTGGGAATACGATTAAGATTGCACACATGCACAAAAATGTCTGACTTTCTGAATTATTGACTGACAGCAGTGATACCAAAGAAGAGAGTTTGGGTCGGATCGAGTCCTGTAACTCAGAAAACTTCATAACTTGGGGAGCTCTGCCTCCAGACGTGGCCTTTGGACACTCGGGGTGCTCGGTTTACATCTGCACCAGCGTCAGTCAGAAGATACTTCAAAGCTTTAAAGCTCAGAGCTGCACTGCTAATCAGTATCAGTGTTACCTCCTGCAACTGTCGGAGCAGGATTACCCATGATTCTTATCAAACACCTTTGACCCGCTGCTGCAGACCCAAGAAGGAAACAATACACTGAAATACACAGACATGTGGAATAAACACAACCACTTCTGCAAACAGGATGGATGTGTTGAGCATGATTTAAACAATGTTTTGTGTTTAGTGAACAACAATTACAGGAATTCTCACATTTCCGTTGGAGCGTAATCTGGCGCCCTCATCCTGGTGCCATCTTTTAGTTTGCAGCAAAACTCTTCATCAAGCTGGACGCCGGGATATGGAGAGGCACCTGGAAGAAAGAGTAAAAAGAAGATAACAGCTGTGTTACATTTAAATAAAAATAATTTGTTTTTCTTTTTAAAAAGGCAACTTGTGAGCCTACATGTCTAAGAAACAAGGTGTAACTGCACCATGTCTGTTAAATAATAACTAGAGAAATTGCATTTCCTGCAAAAATGCAGTGTGAATGCTTATCGCTGAAGAACTTGCTGTAAAACAGTTTAAATGTACCTGAAATGGAAGAATAAGTCTATGTTAGCAGAAGAAAGCAGAAAGAATGCACATTTGCTGAATTACGTTTAAATAAGCAGAAATTAGCACAAAAATTAGGAAATTAGCTACAAAAGTTAAAATTAGCAACAACAAAAAAATGCTGAAAATTAGCTGCAAATGCAGAAAGAAGCTTGAACTACCAGACGGAAGTAGGAGCTGAAATGAGCTAAAAAAGTTGGAATTAGCTGTAAAAGCAAAAGTTAGCATATAAACAGCTAAGTAGCTGAAATGACTGAAACTAGCTGAAATAGGCTGAAAGGAACATAACAAGTTGAAATTAGCATAAACAAGTTAATTAGGCTGAAAGTAGCAGAAATTACCATGACAATCTTGAATTTATCTGAAAAAGCAGAAATTTACAACAACAACAAAAAGCTAAAAAGCTAGTTGAAAAGGCAAAGCAAGCTTAAATTAGCAGAAAAAAGCAAAAAGAACATGTTTGCCTATTTAGGCTGAAAGAAGCAGAAATGAGCACAAAAAGTGGTAATTATCTGAAAACAGCTAAAATTAGCAAATTAAAAAAACCCAGCTGAATGTAGCTAAAATAGCAGAAAGAAGCTTAAATTAGCAGAAGAAACTGAAGAGAGCATATTTTTGCTGATTTAGGCTGAACAAAAGTTAAAATTAGTGCAAATAAATGTGGAATAGTTGAAAAAGCTAAAATGAGCATAAAAACAACTAAATATAGCTGAAATAGCAGAAAAAGCAGAAACTTTCAGAAATAAGCTAAAAGGAGCATAACGAGCTGAAATTAGCAGAAAGAAGTTAGAAAAAGCTCAAAAATATTGTAGTTAGCAGAAATAATTTGAAAGGAGCACAAAACAGCTGAAAAATCAGCTGAAATTAGCTGAAAGCAGATGAAAAAAGTTAAAATTTGCACAAGGAAGCTGAAAGAAGCTGAATCAGAACAAAATGTGAAAGGAGCAGCAAAAGGTTGTGAACAGATCTAAAGATTTGAAGGATGTAAAATGAGCTCAATTCATTTTCTATGAGAAAAAAGTGGCAGAAAAGGCTAAATCTTTCAAAAAGCTAAAATTGCACTAATACCAAAAGTTATAGCATGATTGTCCTGAAAGAGCTGAACATTTTGATGTATGATTTGTTGAAGTAGCACAAAAATTGTGGAAAGAGAAAGATGCTGAAAAACATACAGAAGAAAAATGGGTCTCGATAGTGTGAATGCTTCATAAACATTCACACAATAATGTACAGTGACAAAATAACAACTTCATTGAGTGTAAATGCGAGAACATTACGAAAGCTGAAAGAACCTTTAAAAAGACGTGATTAACTGCATGTTTGCTGAACTTTATTCCAGAGTGAAGGAGTTCAAATTAGAAACAGTTGTATAATTTAACTGTGGTTCAGTCTTTACATATATTACAAGAAAAAAAGCTGTTTTTCTCCTTCAGCTGCAACATAAATCTGTCTAATGTCTCACTCACCAACCTAAAGGGACCCTCCACGACTATTTATTTTTGATCCACTAAAGCGGGGAATAAAGATTTAATGCAGACCTAAAGGGCTTCATGCACTTCATGGGAAAGCATGAGAACATATAGCACCAGGTTGGCTGCGTTGTTGATTTTGGAAAGAGCGATTTATTCTCACATTTTTCTGACACATTAGATTTTATTTTTGTTAGTTTGAATTCTCATGAACGGCACAATTAATCAGCTTGCGATCCAAATCTAACAAAGATAATCTGATGTTTGTGTAAAAAAAGAAAACATTTCAGCTCTAGGAGTCACCGTTCAGATGGATCACATTTCCAGCTGCAGCTGACGTGAACTTTATTTTTTTTTAAAGGTGAGAATTGGTGTGAAAACGGACAGGAGCTGAACTGGGCCTCTCATATTCACTGCAGAGGGAGTTTCATCTTTCAAACTTTTGTTCACTGACACAAACATGGATTATGTTAATGTCTCTTTTAAATTATTAGTTGGATTTATTTACCCAAGTCCTTTCTCCAAAGCAAATAACCTACAATTTTATCACGCAGTTTGAAAGAGCATAATTAAAAAAATTAAAAAACAAGTGTGTTATGCTTTATTTTAGCTTTAAGCTTGTATTTACAGTGCCTTGCGAAAGTATTCGGCCCCCTTGAACTTTTCAACATTTTGCCACATTTCAGGCTTCAAACATAAAGATACAAAATTTCAATTTTTAGTGAAGAATCAACAACAAGTGGGACACAATCATGAAGTGGAATGAAATTTATTGGATGTGTCAAACTTTTTAAACAAATAAAAAACTAAAAAGTGGGGCGTGCAATATTATTCGGGCCCCTTGCGTTAATACTTTGTAGCTCCACCTTTTGCTGCAGTTCCAGCTGCAAGTCTCTTGGGGTATGTCTCTATCAGTTTTGAACATGGAGACACTAAAATTCTTGCCCATTCTTCCTGCAAAACAGCTCGAGCTCAGTGAGGTTGGATGGAGAGTGTTTGTGAACAGCAGTCTTCAGCTCTTTCCACAGATTCTCGATTGGATTCAGGTCTGGACTTTGACTTGGCCATTCCAACACCTGGATATGTTTATTTGTGAACCATTCCATTGTAGATTTGTCTTTATGTTTTGGATCATTGTCTTGTTGGAAGATAAATCTCCATCCCAGTCTCAGGTCTCTTGCAGACTCAAACAGGTTTTCTTCCAGAATGGTCCTGTATTTGGCCCCATCCATCTTCCCATCAATTCTGACCATCTTCCCTGTCCCTGCTGAAGAAAAGCAGGCCCAAACCATGATGCTGCCACCACCATGTTTGACAGTGGGGATGGTGTGTTTAGGATGATGAGCTGTGTTGCTTTTACGCCAAATATATTGTTTTGCATTGTGGCCAAACAGTTTGATTTTGGTTTCATGTGACCAGAGCACCTTCTTCCACATGTTTGGTGTGTCTCCCAGGTGCTTGTGGCAAACTTTAAACAACACTTTTTATGGATATCTTTGAGGAATGGCTTTCTTCTTGCCACTCTTACATAAAGGCCAGATTTGTGCAGTGTACGGCTGATTGTTGTCCTATGGACAGACTCTCCCACCTCAGCTGTAGATCTCTGCAGTTCATCCAGAGTGATCATGGGCCTCTTGGCTGCATCTCTGATCAGTCTTCTCCTTGTTCGAGATGAAAGTTTAGAGGGACGGCCGGGTCTTGGTAGATTTGCAGTGGTCTGATACTCCTTCCATTTCAATATGATTGCTTGCACAGTGCTCATGGATGTTTAAAGCTTGGGAAATCTTTTTGTATCCAAATCCGGCTTTAAACTTCTCCACAACAGTATCTCGGACCTGCCTGGTGTGTTCCTTGGTCTTCATGAGGCTCCCTGTGCTTTGAACAGAACCCTGAGACTATCACAGAGCAGGTGCATTTATACGGAAACTTGATTACACTCAGGTGGATTCTATTCATCATCATCAGTCATTTGGGACAACATTGGATCATAGATCCTCACTGAACTTCTGGAGTGAGTTTGCTGCACTGAAAGTAAAGGGGCCGAATAACATTGCACGCCCCACTTTTCAGTTTTTTATTTGTTAAAAAAGTTTGACACATCCAATAAATTTCATTCCACTTCACGATTGTGTTCCACTTGTTGTTGATTCTTCACAAAAAAATAAAATGTTATATCTTTATGTTTGAAACCTGAAATGTGGTAAAAGGTTGAAAAGTTCAAGGGGGCCGAATACTTTTGCAAGGCACTGTAGCTACCTTTAGGTTTTATTTAGCCATGTGAGACTTAGATTTAGCTACATTTTTGCTACGTTAAGCCTTTCCATATGTTTAGCTTACCTTTGATACATTTAACTTATAGTTTCTGCTTTATTTTAGGTTTTAGCTGGTCTTTTGCTCCTTAGGTTTCAATTAGCCATTTATTACTTTACCATTAAGCTATTCTTTTGTTTATCCTTTTAGCTATCACTTTGCTACTTTCAGTTACACATTTGCTACTTTCACATAACGTTTTGTTTGTTTTGTAACCTGCTTTTTGTCCAGTTCTGTAGTATTTTTCATGACCATTATTTCCCTCAGTTCCTCTGCCTCTCACACCTGCTATTCATCTGCAGTCATCCCAGCTGCATTCACTTAGTAATCGCCTCACCCAGTATATATTTGTGCTCAGTCTTGCCTTACTTTGAGTTTGTGTTCAACTTCTGGATGAACAGTTGCAACAAAGACTCCCTGAAGTGTTTAGGTGTTTGTCCAGATATTGCTTTCTGACTGTTTAAGTTAAAATCCATCCAGTGGTTCACAAGATATTTTGCTAACAGACACGTGAACTAACACAAACACAGATAAATACACAATCATCCACCTTTCATGGCGCTGGGTCATAAATATTTCATAAAAAGAGCAAACTTGTAGAATCAGTGTGTAAACCTTATGCAGTCTAATGGCAGAAGCTGTCACAAATGCTGGTTCACATTTGGGACACAAGAAGATAAAATGGTTGAGCCATTTTAATAAGCTAAAGAAGAAAAAGGATCATCCACAGACAAAACACTTCAGAACAAACGACAGCACGTCAGACAAAGTGACAAGAACAGCAAGGATCTACAACAAACAAAGAAACTTGAGGAGTTTAATTACACAGAGTGAGGAAATTAAGCATGAACCGCAAGTGTGATAATCAGAGATTGGGACTAGGATGATCAGTAAAACTGATAAAAGAACAAAGCTTACAAAAAGCTAAAATATAATGTCAAGAAACAAAGAAGAAAATCTACAATTAATCCTAAAAAAGCCATGACAAAATGAAATAAACATGTTTTAGGACAGTTTTGTACACATTCTGAACATATCGAACCAGTGGTTTGGCGGATGAATGAAGACTTTAAGGTGAAAAAGTCTATAATAACAAACAGAGGAGAAGAAATGTGTGATCAGAGAATCACATAAAGAGAAGTTAAATATATTTCATAAAGTAGATGCCCAGTTGCCTTCTATTCAAGGAGAATTACCATGACAAATATACAATGCAATTTTACATTTTATATTTTACAATCTCAATTTCATCATGTTGATAACCCCACACTCTAGAATATCTGAAAGTAAAACGATAATATCTCAAACATTTTAGCATCAAAATTAAATTAAAAAATGCCTAACTTACTTTTGCTTTTAATCGTTTTATTTTTAATACGAGTTTTTAACAGAAATTATAAAAGGAAGCAAATGAAAAAAAAGAAGTGCTGTGAACTTTCTGGTGTAAAGAACACAATTTGACATGTAACTGTAGTAGGTTAGTCCTTCTGCTCCCTTGGTGACCTACATTAATCCATGTGAAGTCTTGCTTTAGAACAGTGTTGAGCCACGATGTGCAGACAGCCACAGATCAATGCACAATTGCCGCCTGAAATGCTGCAGCGTGAACACAGCAGGGCTGCACTTTTACACCGATCTGGCTGCTTGATTTCTGGGAGTTTATGTTGCCAGCTGGGATAAAACAGATCACTTTTATAGGGAGGTAGATTTAATGTCCCATGCCTGTCCCCGTATTCACAAGCTTACACAAGTGCTAATGTTTTCTGCACTAGCAGCCTGAAATAAAACAGTTTTTTTAGACTGACAATAAGATTTCATGCCCCACAGGGGTACTTAAACAGCAGAAGAAGACAGTTTTTACTCAGTGCATCTGGGGAGGCTGTTCAACACAGAAGGCCAATGCACAAAGCTCTCCTCACAATAAACATACAGAAGATGATTAACTGGAGTTTGAATAAGAAGCAAGTAATGCAACTAAAACTAGAGAAACTGCATTTCCTGCAAAAATGCAGTGTGACTGCAAATTGCTGAAAAACTTGCTGAAAAACAGCTGAAATGTAGCTGAAATTAAGAACAAGCCAACATCAGCAGAAGAAAGCAGAAAGAAAACATATTTTCTGAATTAGGTTTAAATAAGCAGAAATTGGCATAAAATTAGGAAATTAGTTTAAAAAAATAGGTGACATTAGCAAAGCATGTCTGAAAAGTAGCTTAAAAGGCAGAAACAAGCTTAAACTACCAGAAAGAAGTGGAAAGAAGTGGAAAGAGCTGAAATGAGCGTAAAATGTGGTAGTATGTGAAGGTAGCTAAAAAATAAAGCTAAAACAAAAGCTGAAAAATTGAACAAGCTTAAATTAACAGAAGGAAGTGGAGAGAGCACCTTTTTGCTATATTACGCTGAGAAAGGTTGAAATAAGTGCAAAAAAATATAGATTAGTTGAAAAAGCTAAAAAAAACAACTTGATATCAGCTGAAATAACTGAAACTAGCAGAAATACACTGAAAGGAGTATAACAAGCTAAAATTAATAGAAAGAAGTTAGAAGAAGCACAAAAATCTTTTAGTTAGCAGAATAAAGCAGAAAGGAGCACCAAATAGAAGAAACAAACAGCTGAAATTAGCTGAAAATAGCTGAAACAACATTAAAAGTTGCACAAGGAAGCTGAAAGAAGCAGAACCAGAACAAAATGTGAAAGGAGCAATAAAAGGTTGTAAACAGATCTAAAAATGTGAAGGATGTAAAATGAGCTGAAGTCATTTTCTGTGAGGAAAAATGGTGGCAGAAAAGGCTAAATGTTTCAAAAAGCTAAAGTTGCACCAATACCAAAAGTCACAGCAGGATTGTTCTGAAAGAGCTGAACGTTTTGATTTATGATTTGCTGAAATAGCTGGAAAACTACGGGACAAGAATTGTGCCGAAAAACAAACAGAAGAAAAGCGGATCACATTAGTGTGAATGCTTCAGAAGTGTTCACACAACTAAAGCGGAAATAAAAAACACAAAAAAAGTCCTGATATGTATTATTATTATTTCAAAGATTTCATTGACTTATTTGGATACAAAAATGAGTCCAAAGTGTTAGTGCTTGGAGTTTGTGTTGTGGACTATTCTGAGCTACTACAGCACACCAAATTTGAACTTGATAGCTGTAGAATTGACTGAATTAAAGACTTTTATGTGTTTTTTTTAAGTCAGTCGGCTGTGTCGGCCATCTTGAAATGGGTTAATTCTAAGATTATCAGTTGTACATGCACATTCAAGGATTATTTTAGATATTTTGCTAATAGACATACACACACAGAAACACAAAGAGTTTTTACACATATTTTCAAACAAATTATTTAGGGTTGGAAGTTCATTTGAGTTTTCATGGCTCCCTTTTATGATAAAATGTATAAGCGACCACTATATGAGAGGCAGTGGGGGTTAAATAGTTGAGCTTAAGTTCTAATTTTCTTTTAATGAGGGAAAAAAAGGCATCAGCTTCTCCTCCTATAAGTTTTACTGCAGAAAGCTTCAAAACCCAGAGCCTACAGAGAGAGTGAAGAACAAAACACCAGAAGAAAACCTGACAGAGGAACACACTGCAGTGCAAAAACTTTCCTCTTTGCATCTGATTAGGCAACATTTGATCTTGCTCAGAGCACCTGTTTCAGCTCTGTTCCAGGGGTGAAATATCTTGAATGTTTCACTGAACGACCTGAGTGCTGCAAGGTGTGGTTGCAAGAAGGGAATGAAACTATAAAATGAAAAAAATATATATACAAACTGAACATTTCTTTAACTAAAATCAACAACGGCAGGAGTCAATATTTAATATCCAGGCCTTGTAGCCAGTAGGAGTTCGTGACACTCACCCAGAGAGAAGATCTCCCACATGAGAACGCCAAAGGACCACACGTCACTCTGAGTTGTGTAGATCTTGTCAAATATGGCCTCGGGAGCCATCCACTTGAGTGGCAGTCTAGCCTGTGACCGAATATTAAGATCAGGTCAGAAAACACTTTTTTCCCCACCTTTGCACGCCTCACTTATCAACACCAGCCCTGACTGTTTCCTAACATCTGTAAAAAGTCAGACAGTTTAGACTCCGTTACGCCAAATTCTGTCCTCAAAGCACAACTAAACAAACAGAACTGTGTTGCTTTTCCCGAATCACGTTTATTTTTCTTGCCATTTATTAGTGGAAAAAACTTTTGAGCAAGCCAATGAATATCTAACAGTTTCATGGTAACTTACATCGCCTTTGCGAACATAATCGGGGTCTTTGTAGATGTCTCTGGCGAGCCCAAAGTCACAGATCTTCACAACGTTATTCTCAGACAGTAAGATGTTCCTCGCAGCCAGATCTCGATGAATGCACTGATGGAAAAGCAAAAGAAAAAGCAGAGCTGCATTAAAACTCAAATTTGTATTAATAACTGGAGATTTCCGCATGCGTTTTGTGCTCGGCGTGGCCCGCGCACTGCATGCAGCAGAAACATCTGGTCAAACGATCAGAAACAGCACCAGAGGAAATATTTTTCTCGTATCCAGGTTAAGACATAATAGTCTGCTGCAGGTTATTTACAACAATGGCTTCATTCTCTAATCAGCCTCATCCGGTTCCCCGTAAACCTATGAATGACTTGAGAAATCAAAAGGATCAAGGCTGACATCCTTTACGAACCAGGGGGGGTGGGGGGTGGGGGATTATAATAAAACAAACACAAGTACAGTAGATCAAATCAGAAATTATGCCGTCTCTTTAAAGTTCTGCTTTGCTGTAGCTTGGTTCATATTTGACACTTTTATAGTCTACTTTCCCACAATATTTCAAAGATTTCTCCTTTTTTTAAATTCACAATAAAAATTTGAAAGGCCTAGCATAGCATTTCTTGAAAGAAGTGTGAAAAAAGTAATTACTGTATTTTTCAGACGATAAAACGCACTTAAAATGTAATTTTCTCAAAAATCGACAGTGAGCCTTATAATCCAGTGTGTCTTGTGTATTAACTCTGGTTGTGCTTACTGACCTCAAATCGATTTTATGTGGTTATTGTGAATGAGATGAATAAAGTTTGACTTATCTGTTTTATTTCGCTTAATGCACATTATAATCCGACGCACCTTATGTATGTAATACGGTAAATTAAATGATATCACGTTTAAAATGGATAGAGTTATTGTTTTGGTCAAAACTTAAGATTTGTGCAATGCTGCGAGATCTCACAAAAAGTGTTCGTGCTCATAGTTTGTGGTGAAGATGACTTTCAGCTACTACCACGTCAAACTTTAAATGAGTTACAGTCGTTTTTCCATTGGCTGAGCTGAATTAGCCATGGCGGACATCTTGAATTCGATGAACTCCATAAAGCAATCAGATGGAGATGCGATGACTTTTTGTTAAAATTAATCCAACGGTTCATGATATATTTTGCTAACAGACGAACAGTTTGTGAGATCAGTCGGCTGTTGGTTTCAGCTATTAACAATGACAAATGTTATTAAGTCCCTCTAAATTTGATTGAGTTAGAGTCATTTTTGGGGTTGTTTAGGTTGCTTAGCTGTGGCAGCCATTTTGAATTGGGTTGACACGAGCAAAAAAAATAAATCGTCTTTTACTTTCTGTGGCGGGTGACAATGTAATGTATAAAATCTGTCCCGTTTGAAGAGAATACCTTTCGTGAAGCAAGGAACTCCATGCCTTTTGCCACTTGAAAACTGTAGCAGATTAAATCCTCCAAAGTCAGGACTCTCTTGTATAAATCTTCAGATTCTGTGAAACAAAAGCAGATTAACTTCATTTTCAATTAAAAGTAGTTTTTCATAATTTCAAGACAGGTCTGTTTTGAAAAGCAGTCGGCTCCCTACACCTGTCAGATTAATCAGAAAAGATGAAATGAGGCATTAGGAAACACAAGGGTCCCATCCTGCCTTTAAACTTGTCCCGTCCCAGCCTGTCTTTGAGACATCAAAAACAAATTGTCTTCATTATTTTAGGATGTAAGGTGAAGCGTGAGGTAACGAGCAGGAGTCCTTCCACCGCTCCACCTGAGTAAACAGCTAATCTGATCTGAAATAACATCAGAAACAACATGGCTGACATGCTGGGTGAGGACAGGAAACAAACAGGTTCCTTCCCCCTCCTAGGCTCAGTGGGGTTGACAGCAGCTCCTGCTGCAGTGATTGTGCTGCTGAACAGGAGGAAACGTCCCATCAGACCTAAAAACAATCTGTGGAGAGCAGGAGGGACAAACGGGGAGGCGGGGGGAGGTCGAAGGGAAGCAAGGCGTGCTTGGCCTTTACCTTCTTCCTCTTCCTCTGAGTCGCAGTAGCTCTTATCTTCGATGAAGCCAGAGCTCGCCGAGCTTCCGGTGCTAGCCACGCTCTCCAGGCGGCGCTTCATCAGCTCGCTCAGCTCGCAGCCCGACCCGGCCGACACCACCTTACCGTCCTGGCTCTGCATCTTGATGAACGAGACGAGGTTAAACTCCGGCTGACACGTCTACTGACCCTGAAGTGACAAGTAATCAAACGTGCTCACCTTGTAGACCAGAAAGTCATCCCTCTTCCCTCTCAGGTAGTTGGACAAGTTGCCATATTTGCAGAACTCCACAATCATCATTAAGGGTCCTGTTGGAAGGAAGGCCACATTTGTTGTGATTACTACTCCAACAGAAAACCACTTACATTCAGAACCAAAGAGATTTAAAAAATATGCCTTTTGTTTAAGCATGAAACAGGGACCAGCAACCTTTACAATCCTAAGAGACATTCTCGCTCCTTTTCTGACTAAATTAAATTTTACCCAGAGATGCAAAATGTGCTTGAAGCTTGTAGTAAAAATAACAGAACTCAGTAAGTGTTATATAATACTACATATAAAAAATGGGTACCACTTTACAATAAGGCTCCCCTTATAGGTGGCTAATAAAAGTTTATAGGTATGTTATTTATTTCTCAATATACAATTTATAAATCATTAATAAATGTTTATTATGCATTAATTAAGGGTGACAGAGAGACAAAGCTGACCAGTTTCTTGCCAAATAGTGAGCCAAATCTGTTTACTTATATGTTTCATCTAGAGTTGTTATATTGAACATTTCAGACTAAGTTACTACCTTGTGAGTACAATAAGCATTTGTAAACCTAATGTTTTTAAGATATAATATTAGTTGTAGATACTTATAATGCAGTGATAAAGCACAAAATTATATCCTAAAAAAATGGGTTTACAAATGCTTATTGTGCTCACAAGGTAGTAACTTAGTCTGAAATGTTTAATATAACAACTTTAGATGAAATATATACGTAGGTGAACAGATTTGATTCACTATTTGGCAAGAAACTGGTCAGTTTTGACTGTCACCCTTAATTAATGCATAATAGCAGTTATTAATGATTTATAAAGTTTTTATAGAGGAATTAATGACATATCTATAAACTATAAGAGGAGACTTATTGTAGAGTGGCACCAAAAAAATAAATATATATAATTTGTGACAGCGCAGCACGGTGGCGCAACTGGTAGAGCTGCTGCCTCTCAGCGAGCAGGTCCCTGGTTCAAACCCCGGTCCAGGGGCCTTTCTGGGTGGAGTTTGCATGTTCTCTCCGTGCATGCGTGGGTTTTCTCCGGGTACTCCGGTTTCCTCCCACATACCAAAAACATGCATGTTAGGCTGATTGGTAACTCTAAATTGTCCCTAGGTGTGAGTGAGAGAGTGAATGGTTGTTTATCTCGTATGTCTCTATGTGGCCCTGTGATGGACTTGCGACCCGTCCAGGGTGTACCCCGCCCCTCGCACAGTGATTGCTGGACATGGGCACCAGCGACCCCCGTGACCCAAAATGGAATAAGTGGGTAAAGATAATGGATGGATGGAATTTGTGACAGCTGTAAAGAACTGAAAGTTATTGGTATTTTTACACTATAACAAAGAGAAAGCTAAAACTTTAACCAAAACAAACTATTTGATAAAACATAAACTCCTAACTACGCAGGCCCATGTGAGCCTTTTTCATATTTGTAGGCAATTAATATAAGTATCCCACTTTGAAATACAAATAGTCATTATATAATTATGATAATGTGTTTTCTTGGCTATATAACTGTGACTTGTGAAAACTTTGACCTTCATTTACTTTAACTTTTACACAACGTTCTCCATCAGTTGTTACTTTAATTCTCCATGTTCTGTCCGCATATTTCTATTGAATTCTCATTGTGGGTCTAAATTTAAATATTAATCATTTCCATGTTAGTTTTGGTCAAAGCTGCTGCAGACAGACTAAAGAGCTGCAGTTTGACGACCCTGGCTAAAGCAGACACTTCCACTTTGTATCCAAAAGAGATTTACCACCATTTTGTCTTAAATATCCCTGCTTTGCTGCAATATAAAAACTTACCTCCAGGTTTGGTGCAGGCTCCCAGCAGGTTGACCACGTTCAGGTGATTGCCGATGTGGATCAGGATCTTTAACTCTGACATCAGGGCTTTTCGCTCGTTTGACGTGGCACCTCCTGCATTCATAGGAAAAGTTAAATAAATGAATGTTACTTTTGCATATCTATATCAGCCTTTTAAATGTTTGTTTCTCTTTTGCAGCAGTATATTCATGTGACTGAAGTCGGTACAGATTCTAATTGACAAGAGGTTATGTCAAATGTAGTAAAACAAATTATATTTAACATCTTTTACACTCTAGTCCTGAACACATGTCAAGCTTAACGCTTTCCCCCACAGTGCATTCATTGTTTTTAGTTTTACAAACAGCACAAAAAAATCTAAATATGTAGTAAAACACAGTATTTTTACCATTACCATTTATACCACGATGCTCATGAATCAATCATCTTATCTCCAGATTTGGCTTTTTTTTTTTATATGCTACAAACTTATCTCATTAAGGTACAGCAAAAAATACATAATTTTAAACGTTTAAGAATTTGTGTAAATGATGTTGGCTTTAATTTAGCCTAAAATATTATAAATTACAAAATACACAAGTTTTTTTTTTTTTTTCCATTTATACAATTTCTGACTTGCAGATTTCTGGAAAGAACTCTGGTTTTGTGATTTTAAATTAGGAAAATGAACAAAAAGTAGCTGCTAAAGATTTGTTCATTACATTTATGAAAAACTAAATTAGTAATAATTATGCAGTCCACACATATAAATTAGTCCTTAATTAAATAAACCTTGAAAAAAAATTGAGTTGAATCTTTTTGTACTTGATTTAGAAAAGTTTAAATTACATCATAATGTAAAGATTGTTGCTTTTGCCAACAACATGTTTGAATAAAAAAAGCAGTGATGGATTGTAAGCTGCTGCTTTCTATTAAGTTTGACCGGCGAGCAGCTTTCCTCTGCAGTTTGTTCTCAGACATGACAAACACACATGAAACTAATGAGCAGCTGAAAGGTCTCTTTCTTGTACATCATCCCCATATACTCATCGCCGAGTTGGTGATGTTTCTCTACTAAAATATGAACAAAATAATGAATTAGTCATTCTTAAAAATCTGCAATAAATGTAAAGAAGTAAAATCCTTTTTACATCTGAAATTTGCTAAAAAAAAATATGCTGAAATATAGCTAAAATTAAAGAACATGCCTAATTTAGCAGAAGAAAGCAAAGGACATATATTTGCTGAATTAGGTTTAAACAATTAGAAATGAGCCCCAAAATAAGGAAATTAGCTAAAAAGCTGAAATTATATTAAAAAAAAATAGCCTAAAAGTAGCTGAAAAGGCAGAAAGAAGTTTAAACTACCAGAAGAAAGTGAAAGGAGCTGAAATTAGCTTAAAAATGTGGACTTAGCTGAAAAATGTAAATTTAGCACAAAACAGCTAAATAGTAGCTGAAATAGCAGAAAAAGCCTAAACTAGCAGATATAAGCTGAAGTGAGCATAACAACCTGAAATTAGCAAAATGGAATTAATTAGGCTAAAAGTTGCAAAATTCACCACAAAAACAAGAATTTATCTGAAAACAGCTGAAATTAGCTAAGAAATGCTAAAAAATTAGCTGAAAAAGGTAGAACAAGCTTAAATTAGCGGAAGGAAGTGGAGAGAGAACAATTTTGCCATTTTTGGCTGAAAAAAGCAGAAATCAGCACAAAAAAGTGGAAATTATCTGGAAAAAGCTGAAATGAGCAAAAAATAAATAAATAAAACAGCTGAAAAGTAGCTAAAGAAGCAGAAGGGAGCTTAAATTACCAGAAGGATGTGGAGAGAGCACATTTTTGCTGAATTAGGCTAAAAAAAAGTTGAAATGAGTTCAAATAATGTGGAATTAGCTGAAAAAGCTAACAGTATAAAATAGCTAAATATTAGCTGAAATGGCATAAAATGCTGAAACTTGCAGAAATAAGCTGAAAGGAGCAAAACAAGTTGAAATTAGCAGAAAGAAGTTTGAAGAAGAAGCACAAAAATGTTGCAGTTGCAGAAAGAATCAGAAAGGAGCACAAAACGGCTGAAAAAACCCTCAAAACTCAATTCCTTCATTATGCTTCTCCTTTCTGCTTTGATCTGCTAAGGTAGATAAACATTAATTGCACATGTGGTGTTACAGCATATCACGTTAACTTTCTCACAAACTCTAATTGTCTGTAAGTTTTAATAACGTCAGTGACATCCTACCTTTCAGCATTTTGACAGCAACAGTCTTGCAGGTTGAGAGCTTGTCAATCCCGAAGGCGGAGGCCTCCACCACTTTTCCAAAAGCTCCGTGGCCGAGAGTTTTACCTGACGGAGACAGATGATGTTTGATAAGTGGAGCGACCCCAGAGCTTTGTCTTCCTGGTGTGAAAATAAGGAAAAACATCTGTGTGGATTCCCCTATCAGGAGCCCTCTGGAGCTCTGATCTGGCCATTTTTCAGCTAAATTTATGGGGCACTTAAGCCGGGACGAAAGAGCAGGTCAACGATAAGTGATGACCAAAAGCTGCAGCTGTAGAGAGAGGTGACACCTCCACCGTGTATCTTAATGTCACTTTTAAAAACTTTTGGCCTTTAGTGGGGTTTTTCTCTGTTAGCACCTCTTCTTGGTTATCTGGAAGTTTGGAGACTTTTCAAAAGTAACTGGAAATGCAGTTCAATATGCTGCAAGAGCCTTCAGTATTAGGGTTTTTATTATATGCATGAACATTTAGATTGTCTTAGATGACTGTAAAGTGCTCACCAAGTCGCAGGCGGTCACGGGGAAACTCCCATTTGCTGCTGTCGTACTGAAGAAGGTCGTTCTGCTCCTCCAGAGGATACTCGTCTGGATCAATGATGATAGATGGACCCATCTTGTAGTGGGCTGGTTGCTGAAGTAGTTAGAGAGTTGCAATGATGATTATCTGTATTTTTGTTTCATCATAACAACTAAGATTGTTCAACACAATGGTACTTTTTCCAGTTATCTAACTATTAACAACGGTGTACCACAAGGTTCAGTCTTAGGACCCACCCTCTTCACAATCTATGTAAGTAATGTAGGTCAGATCATCCCTGATGCATCCTTACATTTTTATGTTGATGACACAGTTGTTTATTGTCGAGCTAAAACAGCTGCTAAGGTTTTCGAGCTTTTGCAATCTGCTTTTGACATCAACCATCATCTTTAAATCACTTCTTGTTCTGTTGCCTTCATACATCTCCTCCTACATGTCACTGCGTGTGCGCAGCGTGCACTCTCAGGACATTATTACATGCAGTGTACCCTCTGTGCAGACAGAACTAGGCAAAAGGGCCTTCTCTTAATCTGCTCATGTTTCCTGGAACATCTTGCATAAAGATCTGAAGCTCTCGACCTTGACCTCTAAGTGTCTTTAAATAACCGCTAAGTTCATGGCAAAAACCAACGCAGACACGTTCCTGGTTTTAGTATTTTGTATTGCTTTATAATGTAGCTGTTTTTGTTTCTTTTTTTTTTTTTTTTTACATCTTTTTCTTCCATTCATTTTTCAATTTACATGCATATTTATGAATGTCTACCGTTGTCATCATTCTTTGTGAAAACAGGTCTCTCTTGTAAATGAGTCCTCGAGGCTCAATGAGACTAACTTGTATAAATAAAGGTTGAATGAAAAAAGATCCAGCTTTAAGTTTCATAAAAGAACTAAAACTGTTCAAATTAATGCCTTCCACATGAGTCAGCCAGTTTGTATGAGCACACTATGTTCTTTTTAAATAATACACTGCACATTGGCACAAAAACTCATAAACTAACGGTAAATTTATTCTATTTCACGACAAACATGAGTTAGACAGTTGCAGAGGATGAAACGGGTTGGCACTGAGAAGAGGAAATGTTGAATTTCCCAACCACAGAGTTGCTTTCCACATCTTGTGAAAAGCTAATCCCACGTGGTTTCTGAGAAAGAAATGTTAAAAAAGTTACGTAGGTCTTACCCTCCTGAGCTTTCGAATGAACATGATAAGCATGATCCAGAGGAAAGTGGCAGCAGCTCCAGTGCACACCAGAATGATGACCTCGACATTTGGCTTCCCGTCGTCTCCTGGGAAGAGAAAAGCTGTTGTCAGCTCCACGGCAGAAAATCACAGAGTTCTTTCTTCTCTCGTTATCTGTTCTCTTGTGTTGATAAAGACTTGCAAAGAACTGTGATAAAAACAAAAAACTGCCTGTGATAAATCTACATATTTACGTCATGACATTCTTTCTCTGTCTTGTTTGTTTGTTTCCTCCTACGCTAAAAATGGAATCTTACTTTTGTTTGGGACATGAATACCATCATTTTTCCAGAAACGTTTCTTCCAGACATTGTTTTGGGAATAATCGTGGTGACAGTCTGACAGCTCAAATCCCCTGAATCTGAAGAGGCTTTTTAAATTTTTTTATTGTGTGAATGTTTATGAAGCATTCAAACTATTGTGATCCGTTTTTCTTCCATGCATTTTTCGTTGCGACTCTCGTCTCGCAGTTTTCAAACTATTTCAACAAATTATATCAAAACGTTCAGCTCTTTCAGAACAATCCTGCTGTGACTTTTGGTATTGGTGCAACTTTAGCTGTTTTAAACATTTAGCCTTTTATGCCACTTTTTTTTTTTCCTCATAGGAAATGAATTGAGCTCATTTTACTTCCTTCAAATCTTTGGATTTGTTTACAACCTTTTACTGCTCCTTTCACATTTTGTTCCGGTTCAACATCTTTCAGCTTCCTTTTGCAAACTGAAACTTTGTTTTAGCTACTTTCAGCGGTTTGTTTTTTTAGCTGTTTTGTGCTCCTTTCAGATTCTTTCTGCTAACTACGAATTTTTTGTGCTTCTTCTAACTTCTTTCTGCTAATTTCAATTTATTGTGAACCTTTCAGCGGATTTCTGCAAGTTTCAGCTTTTTCTGCTATTTCAGCTACTATTTAGCTGGCTATACTAATTTGAGCTCTTTAAACTAATTCCACATTTTTTGCACACATTTCAAATTTATCAGCTTAATTCAGCAAAAATGTGATCTCCACTTTCTTCTGGCAAATGAAGCTTCTTTCTGCCTTTTTAGCTACTTTTCAGCTGTTTTTGCTAATTTCAGCATTTTTCAGATAATTTCTACGCTTGATGCTTTTTTCAGCCAATTGGGCAAACACTTCTTTCTTCTGCTAATTTAAGCTTGTTCTATCTTTTCAGCTAACTTCTTTATGGTAATTTTAACTTGTTATGCTCCTTTCAAAAATGTTAATGCTACTTTCAGCTTTTTCTGTTCTTTCAGCTACTATTTAGCTGTTTTTGTGCTAAGTTAGTCTTTTCAGCTAATTTTACAATTTTTTTAGCTCATTTCAGTTCTTTTCACTTCCTTCTGGTAGTTAAAGCTTCGTTCTGCTTTTCAGCTACTTTGCAGCTTTTTTTGTGTGCGCTAATTTCAGCTTTTTTAGCTAATTTCCTAATTTTTGTGCTCATTTCCACCAATTTATTCCTAATTCAGTAAAAATGGGTTCTGTTTCCTTCTGCTAATTAAGTTTTGTTCTTTCATTTCAACTACAATTCAGCATGTTTTTGTTTTTTTTAGGTAATTTCAGCTGTTTTTCCTGCAAGTTCTTCAACAACATGCACATTCACGCAACATTTTTACAGGAAATGCAATTTCTCTAGTTTCCTTTTGTTTCTTACTAAACAAGTACAGCAGAACTGCTTATGTCAAATCTCCATAGTAGAGCAATAAATAAAAAAAGGAAATTTGAGGAGCTTCCATGTGGTCAAACTGATCACGTGCAGTAACATTTCTTTTAGTTTTAGAAGTAAATATATTAAAAGAGTATAGGTAAAAATAAAAATCCTTCCTTCTGCCATATTCTGTGTGTTTCTTGATGCTGGTTGCAGCAGTCAATCTTTTAAGACTCATTAGTGACCCTCTTAACACTTGACAGGGGTTATGTCCTCCACAAAAGGGCCTTCAGCCAAAGCTATGATCCTAAACCCACAGAAAGAATTCACTTGGCATTCCTGGCAGCTGCCAATTTTCCGTCAGGGTAGCGCTTTTCCCCTCTAAAGTCAGACCAGAGCAATTTGTAGTGATGAAAAGAAAACACAAGGCTAAAAGGGCCTCATTGATGTTTCTGGACACACAGAAAAAAAAGAAGAGGGAAAAAGCCCAGATTTTTCTGTTTGGACTAATGATTCAGTTTGATAAGATCTGCGGTTTTCTGAGTCCGACTCACCGAGCACGGTGACGACAGCGCTCGTATTTGCAAATCCCTCAGCGTTTTGGGCCACACACTCGTACAGACCCTCATCATCTTTCTTCACCCTTTCAATAGTCAGAGTCCCGTCCGCCTCCAGAGTGACTCCTGAAATACATGAACTTCAAATAAATGATGCCATAAAGTTTGAAAACATGCAGTTTTTACCTCTTGTGATGCCTTTTTTTAAATAAAAAATAAAGGCCAGAAGTATTTTTAAAGCTAAATATTCTTATTTTTATTCTTATTCTTATATTAATAGCAACAAGCACTTTGAAATATTTTACTATAGCTGGGGTTGTGCTTAAAATGTTTATGGAAATTTGCACCTTTTACACCTGTTTCATGTTCAATAATAAAATAATTTTACACACAACACAAAACTCTTTTAAAAAATCCAATTTATTATTTTTTGGTCTTGATCAATAGATCTTCAAGCTTTCTTCAGGTCTTTTCAAGTTTTCAGGTAGTTTCTCATTCCTAGTCCAGTACTTAACCATTTTCGGAGAACTAGACTTTTTTTTTTTTGTACAGTGCGTTTGTTTGTTAAGCCGCTTAACTCTGACCTGGATCATTAAAGCATAAAAAGGTTCATGGACTGCAAGGATGAACAACTTGCCAAAATAAATAACATAAAAAAACAATTTTGATGCTGTAAATTTGAAGCAAAGAGAGAATTTGTTCCTATTTCTTTAGCTGGATCTAAGAAATCTAAACGATTATGCATTTTAGTCCATATAAAACAGTACTATAGCACCAACAGTGTGATTTTCAGAGCTGCTAGCTGAAAACTGAAGCATGATGCATCTCTCAGGTCAGGTCCTGTTTCAGATCTTAGCTGGATGTCTTTCTCACCTGTTTCATATAGTAATGATTTTCAGACACTGTTCATCTGCTCTTGATATGTTTAAGACTTTGACGCTTTTTCTTTTGTTCTACAGGCCTTGAAATTTTATAAACACACGCTGCACAATAAGACGTCAGAAACAAGGACTGGACAAAAAACAAGCGAAGGAGCAGCCAAAGTCCAAAGAATTCATTTGAAAGAACGTCAGAAGGCCTGGAAAATATATCAAGAAAATCTGTCTGTATGGCAACAAAACAGAAATAAATTGGAAGTGGTTTAAAAAGATGACCTGACTGAAAAATGTTGGATTTTATACCTGGATTATTGAGCATGGACTTTGTTGGTTTAAAAAGAATTGTACATTTTATCATATGGTTTTATTCCATGAGATACCTGGACTCTCTTTCACTTTTATGCCATTTTTGAACCACGTGATGAAGGGGTGAGGGACCCCTGAAGCGTAGCATGGCATGACCAGGGTGCTGCTGCTATTCACGTCTTGGTTAGTCAGATTTTGGCTGAGCCATGGTCGCTTTTTCTCTGCAGCAAAAACAAACAAAAAAATACAAATAAAATAAATTTCCTTCTTTTTATGAATGTACCTCAATACATGTAGTATATTTTTATTAAAAAGGTCTTTGTTTAAAAGACAGCAGGAAAGACACATTTCAATAAATGCTTGTTTTAATTGTAAACAGACATTTAAGATGGGGAGAACAAGTTTTAATGAGATGAGTGGTGGCTGTGCTGTTCGCAGTCATTAATAATAACTGTAAACTAGAGAAAATGCATTTCTTGCAAAAATACAGTGTGAATGCTTATTGCTGAATAACTTGCTGAAAAACTGCTGAAATAAGCTCAAAACATGCTCAAATGTAGCTGAAATGGAAGAACAAGCCTAAGTTAGCAGATGAAAGCAGAAATAACACATATTTGCTGAATTATGTTTAAATAAGCAGAAATGAGCCCAAAATTTAGGACATTATCTAAAAATAGCTGAAAATAGCAAAGTAGCTGAAAAGGCAGAAAAAAGCTTAAAGTACAAGAAGGAAATGGAAAGAGCTGAAATGAGCTAAATAAAATGTGTAATTAGCTGAAAACGCTAAATTTAGCACAAAAACAGCTAAATAGTAGCTGAGATAGCAGAAAAAGCTGAAACTACCAGAAATAAGTTGAAAGGAGCATGAGCTGAAATTAGTAGAAATAAGGCAACTAAGCTGAAAGTCACAGAAATTAACACAAAAAAACTTGAATTTATCTGAGCTAAGAAAATTAGCTGAAAAGGTAGAACAAGCTTAAATTAGCGGAAGGAAGTGGAGAGAGAACAATTTTGCCATATTAGGCTGAAAGAAGCTGAACGTTTTGATATGCGATTGGTTGAAATAGCACAAAAATTGTGGAATGAGAATGATGCTGAAAAATGTACGGAAGAATAATGGATCACAATACTGTGAATGCTTCACAAACATTCACTCTATTAAAAAACTGAACTTCTTCTGGGCAGCCCTGTTAACTTACCATTCAAAATGAGCTTGGCTGTCTCGATTTTCCTCCACCGGAGGAGCTTGTACCCTTGGCACTTGTAACCTGCAGTGCTGTTTCGGGACACATTGTGCAGATATAACGAGAGGGAAATGGAGTAGTGGCTGATCTGGAGGTTGGACACATTGACAGTGATGGTTTGATTCCTGGAGTCCAACCACTGCAGGTCTGTGTAGAGGTAACGTGTTGCTCGACAGGTCAGGGTTACATCATCCCCCTCTATGGCTGCTCGAGGTTCAATTGTGACTTCCTCAGAGTTGTCTAAAGCGATGAAGCAAAAAAAAGGTGGTTCATCATCCTCATAAATCAAATTATTAGTCGTTAGTGCAGCTCCTGTTCTACAGTACGCGTGTGCACGTCATCCACTAATTTGTACAAAAGTCTTTAACATGTCAGCTTCTCATCAGAGGTAAAGGAATGTCAAATTCGCTGTTGTTTCCTGTTTAATCATTATTAATTGGAAGCATGTTGGCAGATGGCCTTGATGGTGCTTCTGCTCTCCAACTAGAGCGAGGCTGACTATATGAGACCCAGGGGAACCAGACTGTGCTTGTTCATCCAGTTTGCTGGAGAGCATTCTCTGTTCCGTAAGAGAAGACAGCTGTTATTACAATTATAGTTTTTTTTTCCTTTTTAAAACATTCCTTCCCTCCTCATCTTCTTCACCTCTGCAGTCAGATTCCTCTTAGGAATTCTTTCACCCAGAAAGAATTGATAGGTGCTATAGACATCCCCTCTAATACAAGGTTTATCTATTTCTCCGTGTTGGCAAACGCAGCTTTTCTCCCTTCAGGAGATTCGCACAACTTTAAGGGAAATGTGTTTTAGTTTACGGCAAAAGAGAACTGTGTTTATCTGCAGTGACACCTCATCCCTGATGTTGTTACATAACTGTCTCGGTCGACAGTCTTTGTGGGGAACATTTGGAAACGCTCAGATGTGCATATAAAGTCAAATCTCATTGGCTCACACAGGCTCAGAGAGGAAGAGGAATGACCTGCTGGCACTGGCGCAGGAATGCAGTTATTCATAGTTGTTTTTTTAAAACGCGTGCCATTACAGCCCTCCATATGGCCCAGGACACGTTTGCCTTGCTTCCGCCTTGAAGCTGTTCAGCTACAGTGGAAGATGTTTTCAATTAATGCCCCCCTCTGGACTCTTTATTGCACAACACAATCTGCACATTCCTTTCCCTGTACTGGCAGTTCATTATAGCGTGCGCTGCAGATTTGAAATAATGCATGGCATGGTTTGCAATAAGATGAAAATGATTTCTGCATGCCCCATGAGCTGTGCAGCTGCGGTTCGATTGCTGATGCTTACTATGAACGTAGAAAGGGATCATCATTGTGCTCAAGCCATTTTCGTTCTGGGCCTTGCACGAGTATCTCCCAGACACACGAGTCTCTCCGATCACCAGGGTACTCACCGTCTGGAACAAGAACAGATAAAATATCAACAACATGAAAAAACAAGACACACATCAAGGGGCTGAGCCGGTCGTTTTGATACAACATTTTATGCATTGCAGTTTGGGCCGCATTAAAGTTGACAGAAAGTGTATAAAGTAAAAAGTTAAGAAATCTAGTTTCCAAGGTGAATAATAAAATGTGTCTGCCTTTTAAAAGGAAATACCCAACGAAACAAATTAAAAGCCCAGCATTCTTTGAAGGAATGCATATTCCTTCTCAACTACAGATCCAAATCTCAAAAGAGTTGAAAAGGAGGCACCATAGATGCATTCCCGTCTCCCTGCTGGCTGTGCTCGAGTGCCTGACTGCTGAAATCCTGGAACTGGCAGGAAACAGCCTGGGGGAACCAAAAGGTCCGCCAAGTCTGGGTGGATAGATCGGATGGCATCTGTGGCCAGTTTCTCTGCATCCGCTGTGGGATGGACCTTTACAAGAGATCCTTCCTGCCTACAGTCATCAGCATCTACTGTCTAACATCTCTTAATGAAATGAGGATAACGAGTTACAACAAGATTTAATTTTGGGATTAATAAAGTATTTTTGAATTGAATTGATATCACCCACATCCTTTTAGGTTTCAAATTAAGATCATCTTATGCTGAAGAATGACCGAGTTGTAACAATTTTGCTCAAACCTTAAATGTAATACTAACAAGTATGTTTTGTGAAAGTCTCAGCTGTTATTACATCAAAATTAATTCAATATCCATAAAACTGGCTAAGTTATAACATTTGTTTTGTTGTTTTTTTAAGGTCAGGTGGCTGTGGCAGCTATCTTCGATCAGGTTGACTGTAAAAGTTTATCACTTGTAGATATATATCCAGTCATTACTTCCTGCAAATCTTATTCAATTGTGCCTTGTGGTTCATGAAAGGTTTTGTCTGGGCGATAATTATCAAATTAAAATTCATTGTTTTGTCTTCGGCTCGGCATCAGAGCCATGAGTTGTGGTTAGCAAGCGTGCAGTGCGCAACACGACTGTAGGTTTTATGCTCACCGGTGCCCAGCAATAATGAAAGGATGCATCTGGAGTTTAAAAGCCCACTGAGTCTCCATCTAACCACAAGAACAAGACCTGAGTGAGCCCTAGCGTCGATTTCCTGCAGAGTGACTAATGACAAATCAGATTTACAACAAAAACAACATTTAAGTGACTTAGATAGACAAAATAATAAGCAGAACCTGGATGAGGGCCAGGCAGCGCTGGGTTCTGCTTAATGTTCGTGGTGACATCTGTTTTTTTAAGGGGTGGGGTGTTGGGGGTCAGTCAAATACATTAAAATAGAATGATGTGGGTAAATTGTCCACACTGGCCATAACTTCCTGAGCTGGCAAAAATTATTGTGTTGACTCCCAGTTGAAATTAAATCATTTTATCACCGCTGTGCCACCATTGCTCCCTAAACAAAAGTAATTTCCACTGTTCAGTTCATGGTGATGTGTGTTCTGTAAAAACATAACGGCGAGGTCTTACAGTACCACTATTAGCCTACATGATGTAACCTGAGATTAAAAACAGTCATTAAAGGCCTTCACACATTCCTGAAAGCCTGACCTGACCAGACGCACGGTGACCTTTATGCCCATATTGCCCTTTGCCTTTATGTTTTCCTGTTACTGTGACCTTGGGCCGCTCTGCCTCTGCACCGCGGAGTGCCACTCAGAGACCCAGCCCCGGCTATGTTCTAATTCACAGGCTGGTGCAATTTATGCGAAGTGACAGAGAGGAATTTGCTTCCAACCAATCCCTCATCTTTCAAACAGCTTCTTGTTATCATTGACCCTCAGCTCTGGCCCCATGAAAACGCCAACGATTGTCTGCTCGTACTTGTAAATAAGTGGTGCCTCTCCTGTTTATGTCAGACTTGCGTTGAAGCTGGCTCGCTGTGAAAACAGTCAGATTTACAGTAACCTCATATGGAAGTAATTGGAGCAGAAGTTTATTTCAAACCTAATTAAAGAGTAGCAGTCAGTAAATCCAAGTTTAAATTTTCCAAAAGAAATTTGTTTTATTCATCAAACCTTACAGCAGTCTGGTTTTATTTAAGTTTTGTTCATCAAATCAAATTAAAACCACAATTGCCAAAATGTATGGAAAATGCAAATAAACACAAAATGCAATGATTTACAAATCTCATGAAGCCCCATTTTGTTTACAATGGAATATAGTAAACATATATATCAGATATTTATACTAAACTCTGTACTTAAAAAAAAATCAAACAATTTCACTCTTTGGTAGAAACACTTTAAGAAAAAAAAAAACGGGGCCATGTTGATCACAGCTGAGCGCCTCCTCTTTGTTTGAATTTTTATTTTACAAATGTCTGTAAACCTCTAAGAACTGAGACCAGCTGCACCACAATACCATCAGAGGCAAGCTTCTGACGCGTGTGCTCCCTAATCAGAAAAATCACTGTAATGACACTTCAATGAGTGATATGTCACTTTGTGCTGCTGATTATCCATGCTACTGATTATCCATGCTGCTGATTTCTTACCTATAAGCTGCTGTATTCACACCCATCTGCTCACAGCATATTCATGTCCAGGCTGCTTTACCATATTATATTACATTATTGCTTAGCTACATCTTAGATCCTTGTATACGGTTTATTTTTCATACTTTATATTTTTTATATTTTTGGCTGTAACTGGGACCTTAAGTGCACAGTTTGGTTCCACCTCATGTACCACATGTGATGCGAATGACAATAAAGAACCTTGAACCTTAATAACGGGCACAGTCTCACTCCTCTTTAGAGTGAGGATGGGGTATTCGTGGTTTCTAAAACAAATGTAAAAATGTGATTTCTCTGGCCACAGAAGAGCTTTCCACGTTGACTCAGTTCATTTTAAATAAGTTTGAGCCCAAAGAAGACTGCAGTACAAAAGCTTTGGATATCCCATTTAAAACAGGTCTGATGCTGCATTTTTCAGAAACCCTTCTACAACTTGTCTGTAAACACTGTGCCATCCACAAATGCAGGTTAAAGCTCTGTCATGTAAAGAACAAGCTGTAATGAAAACACCATCCAGCAATGCTGCAAATTGTCTATTAAGAAACAGTATTACACTAATTTAAACTGTTTTATTTTGCAGGCTGGTGAACATTTACCCTTTTATTTACAACCTTTCTTCATAATAACGACTGGAAATAAGAAGACTGCTCACTCCAGTAAAGGGGAATAAACCGTAAGTCAGAGGCGCCTCATGTTGGAGACCTGATGGAGACCTTTTCCCAATAGGATGGATTTTTGTGTGAAAGAAAAGCCAAATACTATTCACCAGAACCAGGTTTAGATTTATGGGTTAACTGGAGGTCAGAGGAGCAGATTGCTAGCCTGAAGGTTGGTGATTTTGCGCGCAAGCCAAGAAACAAGTAACAGAATGCACACATGTTTGAGTGTGATTTTTCACAGGCAGTTGAGCCGTGCATGCGTGTGCAGTCCGAGCTAACATACTTCATACGCATCAGATGGATCTCTGCAGCAGATCTGTGCTTGAACTTAACAATAGGTCAGTCAGATGTTAGATCTGAAGATATTTTCTTTGCTAAACTGGGTTATCAAGATGGATGTTACTGTTGACCAAGCATCACCTTCTTGCTTGTGGCCACCCTTAAGTTTGCTCTAAAATGTTTTTCAAGAACAAACCACACTATTTTTAAAGCACATGAATAGCAAAGCTGATTTTCTGCAAAGAGCATTTCAGTTGGTTCAGGTTGTAGATCACAAGTGGACAAAATCAATCATTTTTCACTCTGAAGGGGGATGAAAACTCTCAGGATCTGAGATAAGTTTCAATATAGACAAAAAGGCACCTTGAAATGTGCATATAGAGTTTAAAAATATAATAATTTACGTTGCATACCTTGTTTTTCCCTTTGACCAATTCAAAATTTCCAATTATGTCCTCAATCCAGTTGTGGGAATAGTTTCCCTGGTTATCAGCTTTGACCAGGATGGGTTCAGTGTAAGTACGACAACTGCAAGGAAAACAGAAAAAAAATTAAAAGCTGCTTTTCATGTCAGAGTTTTAAACTGACATCATCTCACAACAAAAAGGGAATGAGTCATGGTCCTTTTGGTCAAAGATTATAAATGACATTATTCAAGCAATATTGAGAAATTTTGCAGAAAGAATGTTTGTTAATGGGCAGCACAGTGGCGCAACTGGTAGAGCTGCTGCCTCTCAGCGTGCAGGTCCTTGGTTCAAACCCCGGTCCAGGGGCCTTTCTGGGTGGAGTTTGCATGTTCTCTCCATGCATGCGTGGGTTTTCTCCAGGTGCTCCGGTTTCCTCCCACAGACCAAAAACATGCATGTTAGGCTGACTGGTAACTCTAAATTGTCCCTAGGTGTGAGTGAGAAAGTGAATGGTTGTTTGTCTGTTTGTCTCTATGTGTCCCTGTGATGGACTGGAGACCTGTCCAGGGTGTCCCCGCCTCTCGCACAGTGACTGCTGGATATGGTCACCAGAGACTCCCATGACCCAAAATAGAGGAAGTGGGTAAAAGATAATGGATGGATGGTTAATTTATACCCATATATGCAGACATATTCTCAGAAGTCTAAAGTCAGCTTCCTCTGATTTGGAAAAGACACAAGGCATGCTTTACCGTAGTCTACAGGTAAGGCATAATCTACCATAGTCTGCAGCTACTACCAAACTCATTTACGCTGAACATCTATAAGATTAACTGAGCAGAAGACATTTTTTTTATGTTTGCTATAGTTGCTTAGCTGTGGTGACCACGTTGAATTGGATTGAATTAAAAAAAATAAAATTGTCTAACAATTATTTTCTTAGAGTTCCCATAAAATATTTTCTGCGATTCATGAGATATTTTGCTAACAGACACACACAGGCAAAATCATAATCACCTTCACATTCAGGGGTAGGCGTTAATAATAAGACTCACCATGTTGTATCAAGAACAATGTACTTTGTAAAAAAAAAAAGTGTTTTGTTTTAATTAAAACCCTGTCGTTCATTTATGACTGTAACGCTGCAAAGCGCCCCTCCTCAATCAAACTACTAATCCAAGAAGAATCCAGGTCTAGACCCAAACCCTTCCCTGCTTGTGGAGTGTAAACAATCAGCCTGATGAGCGGTGCGGCAAAGGAGGAAACAGCAGCAGGAAGGGCTGTGTGTCACCCCCCTGCACCCCCCTGCACCCCAGGCACTCTGTCCACACGAGATAAGACTGATCCTAAGACTCTGCTGAGAAAAGCTGATAACTTCTCAACCTGCTGACGGAGAAATCTCATCCCTCCTCAAACTCCAAAAGATGAGATTCGATCCCACATTTTGGATTTACAGTGGCATGAACTTTGTAGAGTCAGAGTTGGATGGGGGGTGGGGGGAGCACAGTTTCCTCCCAGCAGGCAGTGGCTGCCTCAGTCTCATTAGCTGTGCAGCCACTTGTTCTGGTGCCAGCCTCGATTATCTCTGGACCAGCGGGAAGACTCTGTTCAACCTCTGCTCTTACTTGTCCCAAATAAAGTAGGAGTTGTTTTCTGAGAAAATATAATAAAATTATGGAATAACTTACAGATCTGGCACCCCCCCATAATTTAGTCCCTGTCTGTGTTGATTTTGTCAGTGGGGTCCAAGCTTGACGGGTAATGGCCCATTGTTTCCCTGATTTTATGACTCGAAGGTCTGCTGCTACCATCGACGGGCCGGGACCTCTGGGAACGTCTTGATGTTTGCAAGTTCACAACCAGGACAGCTTTCACACACTTGGTGCTGTTCCACTCAGAGGATCTGAAATCAATATATCTCCAGCATGTTCCCCACTTTAACCCGCAGAGTCACTGACCAGTGATTTATGTGTTTTCTTTAGAGATGCAGGCAGTTGAGTCAGAGTGGATTCTGTAGAAAAGTTGGATCCCCAGGTCGGACCGGCGGCTCAATACTTCACTCAGTTTATTTCCCAGATCAAGTAAGGTGAACAATCAAGTAATGGCCTGTGTGAATCCATGTTTTGTCTGTTAGCAAAATGTCTCATGATCCAATGAGTAAATTTTAATGAAACTCTCAGAAAGTAATTAATGGATGTACATCTCCAACTGGCAGTGCTGTAGTAAAGACCACCTAACCTGAGACCAAGTCAAGACCAAGACAAGAGTGTACCGAGACCGAGACAAGACCAAGACTTTTGGGGTCTGAGACCAAGTCAAGACCAAGACTGAGGGAGGGCGAAACCAAGTCAAGACCAAGACCTCAAGTCTTGGAGCTCAAGCTTTTCACAGATTATATGTCTTATACTGTTACAACATAGTGACAGTTTTAACAATTATGTAAATAACATACCGCATGTAACTTTTATTTTTTTAAAAATTAAGTTACATATTGCAAGTGAGGTTGTTTTTCTCTAAAATGCTAAAAAATAATATTTATAATGTTGCAGAATCATTCACTAATGATTTTAAGCCAGATATACAAATACAGATAAACAAATATTAGTTTTTTTTGTTTTTTTTTTGGACAGGAAAAAAACAGCAAAAAAGTGTTTTGACTTAGTGCAACATTTTACTGTATTGCTGCACAGCTTTGATCTGCTATAGATTTTATTTTTATTTTTATTAACCTTTATTTAACCAGGTGAGTCCAGTTGAGATTGCAAATGATTTCAAGGGAGCCAAGAACAGCACCCATTCCAGAACCAATGTACTATAAAAGTACAAAAATATATAATATAACTCAAAATATGTAAGTATAAAAGACTAAAGACTTACTGTCACTTAAAGGGAGCATCAAGAGTAAAACTAATCTGAAATATAACTGTTAACTAAATGCTACATGTTTTTTTAAAACTTATTTTAGATACATTTTTTGTGGAATAAAATCAGATTTCATTGCAGCATTTTGCTTTGTTTCCATTCAACTATCTGTTCTTGAAACAAGGTTTTAAAATGTAGCAATATGTGTTTTATTGTACTTGACTGTGGTTAAAAAAACTATAATCACCAAATGAAAACATAACTTAAAAAAGTAAAACTAATCGTTTTATTTTTAAAAAATGGACAAACATTTTATGGGTTATTTAGTCTAAAACAATTGTTCGAATATTATTTGCATCAAAGATTCTTTTGTCATATTTCAAATTGTTCATGGGAACATTTACTGTTTTACTGAAATGGTCTTTAACTATATACTTTATTATTTATTCAAAAGGACAAAACCTTTAAATAAGTTACCGTTTGTGAAATATATATTTTTAAATGTGGATTGTTCTTTCGGCCTTTAATAATGTCCATTGTTATCATCTGTGATATTTTTATTCCTTATTTTGAAAACTTTTCATCTTTACATCTGCTGCTGTCATCTATTAAAGCTTGTTTTTGAACAATTCACCTGCAATCAGTGCACGATACCTGGAAGTGTAACTATAAATTTTCAATTTTTTGAAATCTGAGCTAAAAGTGAAAAGCTTGATCGACACAAAACAGCTTTGTTTGAATCGGATTGTGTTGCATCATCAGCATGAGTCCAATGAAATAAAGAGGTTTGACTCTCACTTATGAATAAAATAAATACCTTTCAAGTTTAAATAAGGAGGTCTTTTTTATTTTAGGAGATGGAGGACAAACCTTGATCAAGACCAAGTTTAGGGGTTTAAAGCACAGTGAAGATGATGACTCACTCTTTAAGTGTTGGGTCTGAGCGGCACGGCTGCCAGAACCAAGTGATGTTTGGTAACGGCTGTCCGTAAGAGGAGCAGACCAGCCGCTGCTGCTTTCCGGACATGTAGGGCTGCAAGTCCATGGTGGAGAGCTCTGCCTCGGAAATGGTTGGCTTCACTGTGAGAAACGAGTAGATTCAAAGAAATGAGAAAATCAGAGAAGCAGGGTAGATCCACCATCCTGACCCTGCTTGTTGTGGTATTTGATAATGTCTTTTCAATGAGGGGCGACAGCCATGATGTATAGTCATGAGAAATGTGCCATTGACACCAATTGTCCTTCAGACACTTTTTTGTAGAAGAAGAATGTCAGGATGACAGGTTAACCCAGGGCTGTAAGGTCAAAGAGCGACCCTGCTGTGGCCGACGCTCGGGTCATTGATTCCACCATGTGTTCTGTAATGAACAACAGGCCGAGATACTTGGAGCCCGTCCACATCGCTCGGCCATTCTCCGCACTTCAAACAGTTATATAATGTCTGCATCCCACCGACATGCGTAATGTAAAGCAGAGTGACAACTCCAAACAACGCTGATGAACACAGTTTTAAATAGCTCTTTAATTGTTGCCAGGAGTCACATTTGTTTATTTGGGTCTGTGTGCTTTATTTCTGTCATTCCAATAAATAAAAAGCTGTGTGAAGCAGTGCAGTCAAGGACCATAAATAAAGATTATACAAGCCAGAAGGGGTCTAAATTTTCCAATTTTTTGGCACGCTAGTGGGATTTCTTAGAAATGTTTAAAGAATCTCAGCAGGAACTCCTCCCCGCACCCCCTCATGGGCAAGCAAACCCCACTTTACATCCAACAGCACTTACAGCCTCAGGTGTTAACAGCTGTCAGTAACGCTCCTCAATGTCAAAACAATGAATTACGGTACACACTCCGACCCTGTTTCTTCAGATGCATACTTATTTTATGGAACATGCTGTTTATACTGTATGAGCAGCTCTGCAAATACATGTGGTGAGGATGCAAATAAACGCAAGGGATGAGGGGGAGGGGGTTCTCCGGAGCGGCTGGAGTCTGTATAAGCACAACAGAGCTTGGACCCTTTGCACATTGTGCCAAGCCCTCCTCCTCTACCCCCTTCAAAAGAGCCCCAATAATCAACAGCAGCTGCCTGTGTGACATCAATCCATGCTCTGGAAACAACAAGCCCCCAAATTCCTCTCATACTACAGCTGCTACCTGCCAGTGAACTGCACTGAGACCAGCAGCAGCGGTGCAAAGCAACAAAGCAAAGGCACGGTTTAATTTCCTCAGGATAACAGAGATGACCAGGTAAATGGTAACGACTTACCGTCAATGACAAGCGTGTAGCTCAGGTTCCTGTGCAGGCCCTTCAGCTTGTTGCTCAGGCTTATAGTGTAGACGCCCGCGTGTTTCTGCTGCACATTAATGACGGCCAAACTATAACCAAACATCTTGTAAGAAGTTGAGTTCTTCATAATCAGGACGCCGTCTTTATACCTGAGGGAACAAAGAGTTTTGCTGTGGTGAACAGAAAATGGTTTCATAAGAAGATTTGATAAATAGCTTTACTATTTTAAAGTTTTGCTTTTATTAGTTTTAATTTTAACTGAGCCCATGTCACAGATATTGAGCTAAGACTGAGAGTCATCCCCAGTACATACGCTTAAGAGTGACACCTTGTGCTATTGCACATATTTCCAAATTTTAAACCAAAACAGCTGCAGTTTATTTCTCAAATATGATGAGCTCACTTTAAGATTGGGCAATGTGCATGTCGTCAAGGAATGCTAGGCCCGTGATATTTTAATTTGTCTTCATTTTAAACCTTACCATGTTGTTGTGTCTGGTTGTGGCAGAGCTTTGACCTTGGGCTCAAACACAAATCTCTTAATTCCATCTTTAACAATCACTGTCCTGGAACGATCGTGTTTATAGGATACGTCGAGAAAAGGATGTTCTGCAACAGAAGATAAAACAAATAGACGATGGAGTTAATTAATAAATAAAAATGATAAAAGTGTGATGTTATCATCATATTGTTAAAAGAAAAAAAACATTCAGTGCAAGCTCACCAATGACTACAACTTTTGCTGAAGCAGTCTCGTTTTTGCTGGGATTAATTTCAGCTTTGCAGTGATACCATCCCCTGTCTTCCATGGTAACGTTTGGCAACACCAGCTCCTTGCTCATTACATTAACCTTATCACGTTTCAGTTGAACCCTGCCTTTGTAATGGTGATTTTCCTGGAGACAGACAAAAATCACAAGCCCTTGAGTGTCTGATGGTCCCATTTTACATAGCCGGTCTTAAACCTTGAACTTACTTTCCGCCTCGGAAAATCCCATGTAAAGTTTATTCTCCCATTAGAGTCAGTCTCCCCACTGCAGTTCAGGATGAGAGTGTCCCCAACCAGCACTTTGACACGGTCTGGGGTGATCATCACATTTTTCAAATTCGAAGCTGTTGAAATGAGACAGATATGAGGAGCCTGAACCAAAAGAATGTACTCCACTGCAAACTTCACCACCAAGACAGGACTCACCTTGTCTTTGAGGGATGTATTTTGAATGGAAGTGGCGCCCGTTGACCACGGCGTGGCAAGTGAGCATCATGTATTTTATGGTGGGACCATAAGGAATCTCAAAACCCACCTCTGGATCCCATGCCTGATCTTTTACAGCCTCCTCTGACAAAGCAGAGTTCTGCATCTATAAAAGAAAAAGCCATTTAAACATATTCTAACATTTGTGGCGTTTGGTAAACATCACTGAGCCCGACAGGGTCAACAGGAAAGCATTCAACCTCATTTAATGTGTAACTCATGCTTAACTGGGCTCACCTGGGGACAGGCATCTGTTGGACTGAGCGTCCAATTAGTTTTTATTTTTTATGGAGCGTGACCTCTGCAATCGTTCATGCAACGAGACACATAAAATAGCAGAGGCTAAAAAAAAGGATGTACGTGCCAGCTCCTGTTTGTTCCCAAGTCAGGGAGTTTGAAGGAATTGATGAGAAGAAAGGAAGGAAGAGTGCCATTGATTTACTAAAACCAGGAAGTTTGCACAACATGCACCATCTGAATCTTGTGTGTTTGTATCTAATGGGCACAATGATGCATAAAATGACAAGAGACAAACATAAAAATGTGTTTTTGATTTGCATGAAAATATTTCTTTCCACACATTTGACTTTGCATACTAAGATTTATGTCGTTTCCTGCAATTGAACACACTGCGTGCTGTTTGTCTACTGCACTTCTTGTTTTGTAAGACATGATGCACTAAATTTAGTCTTAGAGTCTATTCTGGGAGAAGCACTCTTGGAGCACCTTCCTGCTCCCACAGGAAGTAGACAAAGGGACTACTTCTGCCAATGAGCTTCCCTCCGACAAGACACTGTCCCCGATCTGTTTCTGAGTGTCGAAGTGTCCTAACGCATAAAGGGTGTGAGAACCAGTGCGTGCATAGTAGAAACTTCTTTCCTTTCCTCCCAGGATGACAAATAAGGATCTCCTGCAGGGATATTAATAACAATCTTGTTTTTTCAGATGACACACTGCCTGTTTTTTTTTTTTTTTTCAAAGTATGCATCCTGCGAGGTCTATTATTGTGCAAGCTGGAGTAAAACAATTTAACCCAAAACTTTACATGATGCCTTACTTTGGTCAGCGTCACAACAACATCAGGTGAGGATGTTCGGCACGGCACCACCAGGCTGGTCTCGTGCCTGTAGATGCTCAGAATATCAGGGTTAGCTTCATGGGGCTTAACAAAAGGTTGCTCGGGATCTAAAAGATGAAAAAAAGAAATAAAAATTTGTATCATCTACAGGAGTTATCAGACAGAAACGGCATTTGAAGATGTGTGTGACTGCATTTTGTCCTTTTTGATCAAATCAATGTTAAATTGTGCAGTTTTTGCATTAAAGTAACAAATGTACTCTGTTTTTCTGTTCGCTTTGTGCCTCTGTGCTCATGTAAGTTTCCTCCCACACTTTAAAAACACAAAAGTTTGGCAGACTGGTGTAAACCACGTCCATTTATGACAATTTCAAACATCTTACTACTCTCATACAGTCAGCTGGGATTGTCTCCAACATCGCATGATGCCCTAAAGATTGGCCAGTTTTTCTATTAATGCTAGAGTTCATCAGCTGGATCAGCTGGACTGAACGGAGGACAAACGTTGAGGCATTTGACCCATAGATCAACTGATTAGTTAACTCTACCCAGATAAGGCAGTGGAGCTCTGAAGGAGCTTTAATTTTAGCGCCTACTGAGCAGCCAGGCATCAAACAACAACTGTGGGAGAGAAACAGTCTGCGATTAGTGTGAGGTCGAGCATTAGTAGTGGGATGAAGGGACTTTTATCTGAAAAGTAAGCGTGGAGCACAATCTAATAAACAACTAAGGGCCTTTGAAAAGAGTATGCTAGACTAAACACAGGCCCAGCGGGTGAGGAAAAGTGGGAACCACATTCCCCGAGCAACAGGAGAGGAAATGAAGAGTGTCCAGCTGTACACAAACCCCAACTATTTCTTGGACCAATATCTAAGAAATTTATGTTTATGTGAACTTTTCAAAAACATCTGAGTGAAATGGGTTGAGGCTGAAGTTTCATTTTGCCCTCAGAGTAAATCTCCATATGAACGTCTCAATAACTGTAACTGGCACAATGTGACGCTTTAGGGAAGACTTCTGAAAACAGTAGCTGAAGCAGGAAATCAGCCACTGACCAGAGTTTCCTGTGCAATCAAGCTTGGACTTTAACCTCCAGAAGAAACCACAAAATGATTCTGCCTTTCCGTCCCTTGCTTAAGACATTTGTGGCACTTCAGTCTGGGAAAACTTAGCAAACTTAGCAGTTGATGCACTAAACAAACAGAACAACTGCAACATTCAGTATCTACAAAAATAAAATACGATCAAAATTTAAACGATGATGAAAACATAGCTCAGAATGTTAATTTATTATATTTTTCATTCATTGTTGGAATTAAAGTTCAAGTGCTGATGAGTCTAAAAGGCTGCAGAAGCTTACATTAAAAAATATACAGTAGTCCCTCGTTTATCGTGGGGGATCTGTACCCTGAAGCCTCGCTATAAGTGAAAAACCACAAAGTAGAAATAGCAAGTGGTAAGTAGTAACAATGTTTCTCAACTCTAAACGCTCTAAAAGAGCACAGAATGTCATGATTTCCCTCTCCCTGCCTCCTCTGTCTCAGCCACCTGCATGCGTTCTTGGCCACGCCCACTTCTCTGCTCAGCTCTGAGAACAGTTCTGCTGTTCAGCTGCAGCAGGAAGCTTATCCTGCAGTATGGGCTGCACAAATGTGCAGCAGGTGCTAAATAATTTTAAATAATTTATTTTAAATAAAAAATGTCATGCCGATCGTGTGACTCGTCCATCAATCAGCCACTTGTGTGTCATGAACAATCTTATTTTGAAAAAAACATGATAGAGCGAGTCCGTGAGAAACGAACTGTGAAGTAGCGAGGGACTACTGTATACATAAACTGTATTTGTGTGTGTGGGTGTGTGTGTGTGAAAAAAATAGTTTTTTTTTTTTTTTTCTCTAAACCATTCAGAAAGGGATCTCCCTTAAGGTGAGTAGTTAAAACATGTGCCCCCCATTGTGGATATAGGCAAGTTATGCATGTGTGTGTGTGCATGCAATTAACATTATATAAAACATACAACTATAACCACTCCTCTTGACATTTTGAGTTATCTGATCTTTGTTGCAGCACTTGCTTTGATATGCTTTCATTTTTAGAAACATTTTTATTTTGAACAGACTGTCAATGCACTATTTGTCTTCAGGTCTCACCTTTGACATAGACATAAACAGACGAGTTGTTGTTTGAACCAGTTTCGGAGAATTTGCAGAAGTACCTCCCCGTGTCATTGGCAGTCAAGTGTTTGACTGTGAGTCTGACGCAGTGATTGGGAAGTCTGGATTCACACGGCTCTACCTTCACCCCCTTCGATGAGATAGATCGTTGTGCATTCCCAAGCGTCCACTGCAAACTGCTTTGCCCTCTGCAAGAGGACAGTGAGGGACAGTGTTAGAAATGGTCATATTTACTCACTCGCTACGCAGCTGGAATCTATTTTTAGTAAAAGTGTCACAGCTGGCAGCCGGCCTTCCAGTCTTTTCAGCCCAGGATGACAGCAGCTGCTTTCACCCTTGGGAGTTTCTGGCCTGATGTTCATTCTGAGTTTATTTGGAGTTGATCTCGAGTCACCCGACACCTTGAACTTTCACATGGGAACATGTTTCTTTTGAAAGATGTGCTCGGCTAACACATTCTTTCCACCCAGAACCCATTTTAAAACTCTCTCATTAAAAGGGATCCCAGAGGGACATCGAACATGTCTTGCATACCATTGCCTTTGCCTGCAGAAATTTTGGGTCACCCAACCTCTAGTTCTCAGCCGGTGACAGAAAACAACAAATCTCCTTGTAGGGAAGCATTACATTAGAAGGACATTAATTCCTGTGCATTCTATGCAGGCATGTAAAATGATGCAATGGCCTTTTCTTTTCAAATCTGAATGAACTTCACATGGGTCCCACCATCGCTAAAGGAAATAGCAACAGGCTGATAAGTGTGGACCACCATTGAGGGTTTCTGTCAAGGATCGTCCCTGCTTCTTGTGGCCTGAGGCACGTTTCGTTTATTTTCCCTCTGGCCTTTGTCTATAGGAGCGATACGAGAGTCTAAACTTAAACGTTTAAGGAAGAGTTCTAAAACTCCCAAATGACCTTTCATAAATGACCAGGACAGGGGAAGGAAACCAGTTTCCTAAACTCGCTTGATCAAATTCCTTGAAGGAATGCATGTAGTCCGCTGCCTTTCGAGCCAGAGTTTCAAACTAAGACCCTCTAACGCTAAGAAATAAAAGTTATTGCCAATTTAGTCAAGCTTTGTAAATCACAGTATGCACGACTTCACACAATCATGTAAATCTTGTGAGATGTATTTGCTCTCAAAATATGTGCTGAGTTTGATCTTCAGCTAGTACCACAGCAAACTTAGCTTAATATCTGTAAAATTAGTTAAATTAGTTAAGTTTTTTAGCAAAGTATGTATGTTGTGAAATATTTCCTGATACTACCACACCAAATTTTACCTTGGTATCTGTAATGTCGACTAAGTTTTCAAAGTTCATGCTCAGTCATCCAGGTACAAAATCCAATAATGGTCCATCAGGTCATCTGGACAGTTAAGTGTCGACTAAGTTATAACCATTTACATGTTGGCTAAGCTTTCTCAGCTGTGGCAGCCATCTTGAATGAGGGTGACTATAAACGTTAATGAGCTGTAGATGTACTGTATGATGACTGAGAGTTTCAATAAAATCTGTCCACTTGTTAATAAGATGTTTTACTAATGCTACAGCCTATGGGCACACACACACATTCACAGGAATAAACATTATCACCCACAATTATGACATAAACCAAGAGCAGAACTTGAGTGGACTCATTAAACATTACACTCTACCACTGAAAACATCTTTAAAAAGGAGGTGTTCAACCACATACATGCAAGTAAGGATCAGCGAAACTCCCTTTTGAAGAACCTGTGGATCCTCAGAGGGCAGAATCATGGGACCTTGCTCCAGTTGTCCTGCTGAACAGCACATGAACACAATAACAAAAATAAAATAACAGTCAGTGAAGTTGTTTAACAAAGCAGCACATTTACAGCACCCTTTAATGATGCGTGTCACTATTAAACTGAAGGAACGGGGAACACTGCTGGAAACTCCCATGAATCACTTCAGTGCATGAAGGTGTCTCTTCCGGTGGTCTGTGTTGGCATGTTGGTTGTTTTATGGATGCTGGTTTGAAATCAGAACAAACATAACATCTTTGTACATGTTTTCACACTCAGATTCCTTTAAATTCATTTTCACAGCCTAAAACATTCTGGTTTTTAGCAATATTTTAGCTGATTTTACCTTTTAGCTAGTCTACTGTTCAGATAGCTAGCTAGTTTTTTGCTGGTTTTACCTAACTTTAACTTTAGATGCAATCTTTCGAATGAAAGATGAAACGTTTCTACAATTTTTCTTTTTTTAATTTTATTTTTTAATGTCCAGAGGACCAGATTTAACATTTTTTTAGATATGACTTTTTTTTGTTTTACATCTGAGCTATTGTTTTGATAAATTTAGGTTTTAATTTCTTTCTTAGCCAATTTTAGCTTTGAACTTTAGTACATTTTAGCTTTTATTGATGGTCCTACTAGTCTGAGCTTTTATCTATTGTTTTGCTAAATTTAGCTTTTATCTATGGTTGGCTAATTATAGCTTTTAATTTCTGTATAGCCTATTTTAACTTTGAGCATTACCTTAGCAAATTTTAGATTTTGGCAATGGTTTCGCTAAATTTTTTATCTATACTGTTCGTCAATTTTACACTTCTAGCATCAGTTTTGTTGCCTTTTAAATAATAGCTATGATTTTACTAATTTTAACTTTAGTTTGGATCATTTTAACTTTTTGCTTAAATTTAGCTAATTTTACCTTTAAGCTACAGTTATGTTAATTTTAGCTTTTGGCATCAGTTTTGCTGATTTGTAAAAAAAAAAAATAGATATTGCTTTTATCATATTTCCTTTTAGCTTTGATTTTAATAATTGTAGCTTTTAGCGTCAATTTACCTTTTTTCAACCTTAATAATGCTCATTATTGCTTTTAACCATTGTTCTGCTGGTTTTCACTTTTAGCTACAATTTAGGTACCCTTGGTTGTTAGCTTTAATTTAGCTAATTTTAAGCTTGTAGATATGGTTTGAGCTTTAATCTATTGTTTTAGTAATGCTATCTGTAGCATCCGTTTTGCTGATTTCAACTTTTGGCTATTGTTTTTACTTATTATTCCTCTTAGCTTTGGTTTTGCTCAGTTTAGCTTTTAGCTACTGTTTTGTTAAATATTGTTTCTGCACTGCTTGTTTTATCTTTTTAAACTATTTGTTTTCACTAAATTTCAGCAGTCGTTCAGCACTCACACTGTATTTTCTCAGAAAATGCTGATTTTTCAAGTTGTTTTTAAGGTGACCTCGTAAACTGAACACTGTTCTGAGAATATCATGAGGGAACAAGATGTTTGATTCAGTCGAGGCCTCTCTTTGGTGCTCCGCCAACAGAATCTGTTGAGAGGGCTCTCTGACAATGATCAACATAGGAAGCTCTGTGTGAGTCTCCCTGAAGTCCAGGAGGTGTCACGGTCCCAGACGTGACTTCCTTCTTTTTACAGATATCCCTGAACATCTCGTCTTTGTTGTCACAAAACAAATTTAAGTCTTAGCTCCAGATATGAAAGTCTTCTGGTGAAATTCATATTTGTTGCACATTTTCAGGAAAGACAGTGGAGCTGGACCAACATATCAAGTTGACACAAAAAACAGCAGATGGACGCATACATTTACAAACACACAAAGCAGTACTCACGTACATACACAGGTGGTGTATTTTTTAAAATATCATTCAGAACAGCTGTTGTGTTAAGAATGAGCAGAAGCTGCCAGTGTTGGCAGTGATATCCACTTCCTCATAAAATATTACAACATCATTGTTTGATTGTTCAAGGTTAAACGGAGGGGAAGGGTTGTGGCTCACATGCTTTCATGTTAGTACAGTACACACTTTTGGCAATATATTACATAAATACAATGAACGATAGTCAGCTCTTAGATTAGCTTTTGTTCCTTTTGTTTGTGTAGATGTTAACTTTTCTAATATGTCTGGCTCTGCGGATTTATATCATCTTTATTGGTAACAAACCACAACTTACTGATCAAACTAGTGTCATGCAGTACAAATTTCTACAGGGTTAAGATGAAAGCATCTCCATACAAACATCTCTTTAATTAAAATTAAGACAAAAAAAGAGAAAAGTATCTTGTTGTTGAATCCACCCCCTACTCGTCACTGTCCAGCAATAACCTCAAAAAGCATCCGGTGAAACAGCTGTGTGAAGGATACAGCCTGAAAAATCCCAGAAATTGAGCTTGTTTTCTCAGTTCAAAGGGCCAAAAAGCTGGTTCTTATTAAGCGCCATTAAACAAAACAAAAGAGAATAGATGTGGAATGGTGTGAAGGAGGGAGAGGATGAGAAATTTCCAGCTATTTCATGAGGAGGGTTTGAGCCACTCAGACATTTAGACCAGGGTCAGATGTCCTCACTTGGCACTGATTGAGGAAAGCAGCACAGGATATGAGATTTAGGAACATATCTGTGGGCAGGTTCGCCATCAGTCAGGAAATTAAAATATAGTCATCTTTTTATTTAGTTGCAGGATGACTTTCCAATATTTGAGGCAGCTATGGTAGAAAGAAAGTGAAATTCCTATCTGGAAAACAACAAACTAAGGTGTTGCAAGAAAAAAAAAAAGTGATTTAAGTTCGTTTTGCCTCACTGGTGGAAATTGGTTGAAGTGAGCATGTTCCTATTTTGCATTTTTGTGAGTTTCTTTTTTTTACTTGGCTTTTTCATAGAATGCATTTCTGTCATTTCTCATATGATTTCTTGAACTCAAGCTCTTCCAGCCTGATCAAGAAAGCACATCAGCGACTAATTCCTCAGGTGACTGAGGCGAGCTGGACTGGGAAGCTCAGTCCTCACCTCCTTCTACAGGTGTGCAGTGGAGAGCATCATGTGCTCCAGCATCAACATGTGGCATGGAGGCTGCACAGCTGCAGAAAGAAAAGCTGCACAGAAATCTGACGGAGTCAGCCTCCCCACCATCACAAACATCTACACCTCCAGGTGCAGGAAGAGGGCCACCTGCACCATGAAGGACCCCACTCACCCAGAACTCACACACACTTTTTGTCCCGCTTCCCTCAGGAAGGAGGTTGAGAAGCATTAAGTGTAGAACCACTAGACTGAGGAACAGCTTCTACCCTGAGGCTGTTAGACTCAAAAATCCCTAACCAGGAAAATCACTGTAAGGAGAAAAAAAAGATAAAAGAAAATCACTGAAATGACACTTTAATTGGTGATATGCAACATCTGTGCTGCTGATTATCCATGCTGATGATTTCTTGCCTTTACGCTGCTGTATTCATACCCATCTGCTCACTACAGACTCATGTTCAGGCTGCTGTTTAATATCCCGTATTATTTTACATTATTAGTGTTTAGCATATATCTTGGATCCTTATCTACTGTTTCTTTTTATACTTTATATTTTTGCTATTTTTCGGTGTAACTGGGACCTTGAGTACACAATTTCGTTCCACCTCATGTACCACATGTGATGCGAATGACAATAAAGAACCTTGAACCTTCACATGTCAGTGGGACATGAGTGTGGCAACAATGGACTGAGTTATCAAAAGCTCATCTAACACTAAATGATCCCAAATTTAAATCAAATTAAATAAATACAGGACAGGAGCAAAAATAAACAATATATTTTTAAACTATTGTTCTTATTGTTGTGTGATTTTTTTTTTTTTTACCTTTATTTTACCAGGAAGAAGTCCATTGACATTATTAATCTCTTTGATGTCCTGGGCAGCATTGACTTAGACATTGATTTACGTGAAGTCACTTGCAAAGGATGAGATTATGGAATATGGAGAATGAAATGTAAGTTTTTATAAAGCACCACACAGGCAGAAAAATACTGCAAATACAGCAAAACTGCAAGGGTAAAAAGGAGGGGAACGTAGTACACATTAACAATAAATAATGAGATCTATAAACATGGGCAGCACGGTGGCGCAACTGGTAGAGCTGCTGCCTCTCAGCGAGCAGGTCCCTGGTTCAAACCCCGGTCCAGGGGCCTTTCTGGGTGGAGTTTGCATGTTCTCTCCGTGCATGCGTGGGTTTTCTCCGGGTACTCCGGTTTCCTCGCACAGTCCAAAAACATGCATGTTAGGCTGATTGGTAACTCTAAATTGTCCCTAGGTGTGAGTGAGAGAGTGAATGGTTGTTTGTCTCATTTGTCTCTATGTGGCCCTGTGATGGACTTGCGACCCGTCCAGGGTGTACCCCGCCCCTCGCACAGTGATTGCTGGACATGGGCACCAGCGACCCCCGTGACCCAAAATGGAATAAACGGGTAAAGAAAATGGATGGATGGATCTATAAACATGGATTTTGAACTGAAGAGCAAACAGTTTTTGTCTACGTTGTCCACCAACACAGCCCCCTGTGCAACGCCATCAACTTGAAGATTACCATTCATTCATAGCGATCTCTAAAATATTCAAGAGCTTCAAGTTTCCAGAAGTTTGTCAAGTGATTTTACTTGTACAGTAATTTGTTTCATTCTTGTATTTTTCCGCCCTCTTCTTCTTTTGGCTTTTCCCTCTTCAGGGGTCACCACAGCGAGTCATCCTCCTCCATCTCACTCTGTCCTCTGCATCCTTTGTCCTCTCTAACTGCATCCATATATCTCCTCTTTGTCTTTTTCCTGGCAGCTGCATTTCTAACATCCTTCTACCAATATACCCACTGGACATATCCAAACCATCTCAGTCTGGCCTCTCTAACTTTATCTCCCAGTTGTTCAACCTGTGCTGTACCTCTGATGATCTCATTCCTAATCTTATCCATCCTTGTCACTCCTAAGGAGAACCTCAACATTTTCATTTTTGCTACTTCCAGTTCT